TCGGTCCAACCACTACAGATCTGAAATTTCGGCTATATTAAATATTCTAATTTTTAACTTCGGCTACGGGCCTACCATATCGCTTTGTAATTTATCCAACACACATCGTTATCCAGAGATAGACTGGGAATATTAGCACTTTAGTAGTTCTTTTTAATTTCACTATTGAATAAGTAATTTTACTCGCGGTGAACTTGATTCGGATTTTTGTCATTAAAAATACGACGTTTGAACGATTCCAGACATTCGTATCATTTGTAAGGTTCCCTTTAAGTTGCGCAACCTCGCCGTTGAGTAGTACCTCTAGAGCAGTGGTTCTTAAAGTATGGGTCGCGACCCAAAGTATGGGTCGCGACCCAAACATGGGTCGCGGAAGGTTTAAAAATGGGTCGCGACAAGGTCGTCAATGCAAGGGCAATCTAAGAGGAGAAGGAAGAATTTTCAGCTTTCCCAATGTTTCAGTTTAGCTTCTAAACTCTGGTATTTAAAAATAATGAAATATAAAATTTCATTCACGGAAAGAACTGTCTTGAGGTCATTGTTACATCACAATTCTGATATGCCAGTCACGTGTATTATTTTTATGGTATCGGTAACCATGCACGTCGCTTGTCGTTGTGTTGACCGCGTGGAATGTCGTCTTAGTGGATTAAAATAACCAAAAATGGGTGTCTTTTTGGTAATGTAAATTGTAATAGACGACGCAATGAAAATGCTCGCTTCTCGACATTAGATTATTCAATATCTAGAGAAAATGTGACTTCATCTCGAGGCACCATTTACCGCGAACGAAGCAGTGTGTGCACATTTGATGAGTAAAAAGTTGTATATTGCGAGAGATACCGAAGGCCAGCCAGGATGTCGTGTTTGCGACGGACAGCGGACGCCTTTTCTGCTACAATTCGCGACAAGGCACTTGTGCGAGCGAGGATATTTGGCACTGACGGTTATCAAAACTAAGCTCGCAATCGCCTCAATACCCGTGACAACTTGCGTATTGCGTTAAGTAAAATAGAGCTGTGTATTGAAGATATAATGAAAAGGAAATTTCAGTTTCATCAATCTCACTGAGTCAATGGACTGTTTCTAATAAATAGTTGTCTGTATTTGAGTCAAACTGTACTAACATTAAAAACACATTTTGCGTTATTTAGGATTGGGTCGCGAGTATTCATAAAACTCAGATTTGGGTCGCGCTCGAAAAAGTTTAAGAACCACTGCTCTAGAGACTAGACCATTTGTGCAGTAAAATCCCATACTCACGCGATTGCAACATTGCGTTTTTAAAGCGTGGATCGTCAAATTTTCCAACGCCTATGCTAGAATGTTAAATGTATATTTTTTCGCATTCTGATATTATATTATTGGGTACTCTCGTAGTATGTGTACCAGGTTAGGTTTAGGACATAATTCTATTCCAATTTTCTTTATTTTAGTTATATTACGAGTTCGGAGACTGTCTGTGTTAGCCAAGTGAATATATACCCCCTGGCCATAGGATTCAGTCCCTTTACACAACTTGGTGTATAGTAGGCGAACAAAATTAGTTATCTCCATATTGGTACACACACTTCTGGAGCGCCTATTGTTGTACTATTTTACAATACAAGTTTGTAAATCATTTAGAACAGGGGTCGGCAACCTACTGCCCGTGGAACAATATAAACCGGCCCGCGAAGCTTCACTGAATTACAGTAACAAAACAGTATTTTGACGATTATAATCCTTACGTAACAGAATTTATTTTGAGACACTAAATTATATTATAATCTAACAAGTATATATTTCACAATTACTAGCTTAAGAGCCTATAATTTAATTATAATTAGACAAATGGCAACAAAACACAGAGAAATTGATGCTAAGTGCAAATGATTTAATGGCGCTGAAAATATTCAAATGGTCAGTCTTCGCGCGCTGCTTAACATGTAACTTCTGATTGGTGTGAAAAAAATTTGATTCATCGGTCATCTGTTCGGTTTTTACCTTTATAAAAATATATGCGGCCCGCCAATGACGTGCAACCCTTTAATTTTGGCCCGCGAGCGATAAAAGGTTGCCGACCCCTGATTTAGAGCCATGCTAAGACTTAAAACATTAATGCTCAGAGAAGGAAGCAAACAATTGATCAGTACAAAAATTTTCCAGAGGGAACACTGGTCATGCGGCTTGCATGTTCAGGAAGAGTCTCCGTAGTTTTCCCCTCATGTCGACCTTCACTCAACTTTCTTGCGAAACTGCAAATTAGCGGAATCGTACGGCGTGTCCGTATTATGCAATTCGTCTGTAGATTCGACCCCCTCTGTGCAATGTTGCCAATATAAGGCTGAACATTTAACAGTCTCGTCTCATTAACTTAGCAGAAATATGGAAGCGATACGTTTTTTACTGAGAGTCATCGACTATTTTTTGAAGCAAAGTCTTTAGAATCATGTAGTTGTGCTGCTTCCGTCCGTCGCTGCGTAAATAATTAGACAGATGTTTTTTGAGTTCGGGATAATTCACGAGTTTTTCTGCGATGTAGAGGCTTCTTTCCCTTCATTATCGAAATTACTGCAATTTTCCCTAAAAAGTTATGTTTTGTGAAATTTCCTTTCATCTAGCTCAGGGACTATTACGATATTTTAGGTAACTACTAATGGCGTTGTAAATATTCTTGCGTTATGCTTATTTTGCAGCTGAAACACATACCATCACGGCCGCACATTTCGTCTCCAACGACTGCAGGTTGTTCGCCCCTGATCTAGCTATTTCCACGCTAACCGGCCTTCCAACAGTTCTAAGGAATATTTTAAGGAATATAGTTAAATAGACCTATATGTTTACTTCGTAGCGCTCTAGTATATACTTTCCTATTTTCTGTAATGTTTTGAAACCGCCATACTTGGTGACGAATACTTACAAGACAAATTCCCCGGGTCATGAATCCGATTTCCGCATTTTCAACAAATACGGGCTATTTACGCAAGTAGGTTGCCATGTTTTTATCGACCTCTAAGCTAAACATAGAAAGGTGGAGACCTGGAGGAAATTGTAAATTAGATACTAAAGTTTGATCAGTCATGTAACATTTATGGTTTAAAAATATTTAATTTTTGCTGTTTAGATAATGTATGGACACTTGGCAAGTTTTTTAAGGAATTTTCAACACCTAATAAGTAGGCAGGTCTTAGATCTGAATTGTATTATTTGAATAAATCTTAAATAAATGATGATTAATATTACGCCCACAGTGCCGAGCTTATTGACAGCCGTGGAATTTTTGTATGCATATGTATATACAGTAATCTGCATATTCAGTACTTATTCGTTTTTGTGTAAGACCTTAGTCGGTCGATCGCGAGCTATTTTGAAGATTTTAGTTTATTGCGGTCAAAAGCAGGTTGGCTACCCCTGATATAAGATATGGTGAGGCAATAACAATATATTACATGATTATCGAATAGAGTTGTAAAGATATTTAATTTAGACAGAAGTTTTATCTCCCTACTTACTATTGAATTAATTTTACCACAAGGGAATTTTTTTTAAATAATTGTCAAATTAGCAATGCTTCTGAATGGAAGTGAAAGGGAAATTACGCATGCTTATAACTAGACTTACCTACCGTACCAGGAAATAGTTTTGTATGCTCTGCTATAGTTTCAGTTTAGCAGTAGATTTCAGGAATATACGTTACCTAAAACGCGAATATGAAATAGGGACTTTGGAGAACGAACAGAAATTTGATCACGACAAGTTATGTGAGCTAATTCTCTAAACTTAAAAGCAAAACCTAAGTACAATCAAGAAAACCTGAGCGAACTAGCAATAAAATAAATGACTCGAATATACTATATATCGGGCTGTCGTAAATGTTGCTGGTACTAAAATTATCAACCAATCTTGAGAAGGATATATATATATATAAATCTGACCCCGAAGTCTTATATAAAATTGACAAAGACTCCACAAAGACTTAAATGCTAAGTGATTGATTCAATTGCGAGCTTTCGCATGTCATTTGAAGCGCGGAAACAAGCAATTTATATTAAAGTTATTTAATAAATCACCACTTTAAAATTGTCCCTCTGATGTAGACTATCGTATACTATATACGATTGCTATTATATAAGGCTCATAAGCTGTCTATAGAAAGCAAACGAGCCGTCGCGCATTCGGCAGTTATAGTTGAATGTAGTGTTAAACATAACTTATGTAGGTTCAAGTTATTTTACAGATCTTTGACTGAAATTTCGAAGTGCTTGTCAAAAGTCACCGATATTTTATCTATATAGTATATAAGTGTGACCTTAGTATGCTTGTTAATATACCACCTACAGTCCTATACAGTCGCCATACACGCCAGGTGGAGATGAGAAAAGAATGTTGATAGTAGAAGAAGGAATAGTTGCAGCGTCCTATTATTGAATACAATGTTCATATTGTTTATTAAAATAATTTAATTTATTAACAGCATATCGGCTAGTTTTACCATGTATATACTAATTTGTCACTTTGTATAGTTCAACAAATAATAAAGTAAGAACTTTAAATGGAAAATAGGGCCACGCTTATAGTACCGCTTTTACTTGCACTCTAAGAAATATTTACCGGCAATCGCCTGGCATTACATATTACTGGAATGTAGTTGTGAAATTTTAATGCGATTTTAAGGTAAATATCACAAGAATTTTCGGTAAAATCGCTGTTGAACACCTGTGAATTTTACAGGATTTTCCTAGTAATTCTTACAATTATTTTCTAGTAATTTTCACCGGCAATGCGTAGTAATATTTACCGACGCTAGCCTGTGAATTTACATTACAAATTCGGTGAATTTACATTCAGAACCCGGTAAAAAGTACCGTAAATCTCCTGGCATTACATTTTACAGGATATGATCAGTAAAAATCACAGACTATTCTATGAAACAAGGTTTATTCAAAAAAATAAAAGTGAACGTGAAATGAATGATTGAAAACTTGGAAAAATGAGAAATTGTATAGTGAAAAGTTAAAAATGCGAGGTAAACAGAAACTTCTCGTTGAAGAAGTTTATGCTCGCAGGGTATCCGTTCACATAGTCACTTTAAACCAGTCGTCTCTATAGACAGCCTCTAAGAGAGAATAGTCTATGGCAGAGGGGGAGTCTTTCCGGGTTAGTGTTGCCCATGCTGATTGTATTTCATTATCCATTTGCTTTGAGGAACTCATGGTATTTTCTTCTCCATAACTTCAAGTTATCTGAAATGGAATGTACAAAGAGTTTTACCCAAACAACTCCAAAACTTAAAAATATTACTTAATTTTCGAATAAGATTTAACATTTTGTAGTATTCAATCAATCAATCTAATTCTTTTGCAAGTTGGAAATATCTGAAATTATTCAATTGCATATACTAGCATTCATTACAATATCCCACCTTTCTATAAACTTTCATATTTTCTTTTCCTCTTGGAGTTCAAGGACAAAAATCTGTGGGCAATCAATCGATACAGACTTTTCCAGTATTACCAAACTTTGTAGATGAGATGGAAGAGGTAGGCTACCAGAAATAGTATTGAAATGGAATAAGTTATTCAGAAGTCCATAAATAATAAAAATTACACTCCTAATACTTTATTGTCAGAGCAGATGACAAAGTTTCTCTTTTAACAATTTAAAATTAACATTATAACTAACCTCAAATTCTTCTTCCTTGAAATAACATGTTAGTAAGAATCTCAAATATTATGAAGCCTTAGACATTGACATTTTCATAGTTCAGAGTTGGGGCAGACAATTTGTTCATGCCTGCATAATCAGATTCTTCAGTTTCTAAAAAGAAAACACTGTTAAAAAGGATTGTATTCATTCCCCACCATCATTATATGTAATATGTTCAAATTCGGTCTTATTCAAAAGAGAAATTCAACAAAATTTATAGAATTGGTTTTGGTAAATATGCAGAATAAGGTGGATAAATGTTGTTTTGATTAATTTTCTATTTATAGTGTCATAAGTTAAAAGAAAATCTAGTGTTTTTATGACAGTTGAATGTGAATTGCCTAAAATTGCTCTTTTTCAAATGAAACTGTTCTGAATTAGTCCTAGAATCAATAACTTAAAATATCATAATCAAATATAAATCTGTCTGTCTGTAGATGATTTTCAATCACTGAATCAGTATATAATTATATGAGTAGGCCTATATAATTAATTGATACCTGTTTCTTTTAATGCCACATTCTTCAAGTCACGGTTTCTGGGTGTAGAGCAACGTCACGCCCTCCCCTGTCTGCCTGTTCATGTGTTTCCTGTAGTCCAGCCTGCCAGTAGTCTGAGTTTGCGATCATCATAAAGCTGTTGATAATTTTGACGGTTTACAGGTTTATCTTGATTCAGTAATTAGATGCTAACATTTCATAGTCTAGAGCTGTAAAATGGGCATATTCAGATATTGTATTGCCGTTTCGGCATTTTAACATTTGCCAGTCTACTGACAAAAAAATTCAGATTTGGAAATCCGAATCAAGCTTTGGCTGTGTTAAGTATCGACAGGCGTAACATGGATCTGCGGATGTACTGATGTAAGCTAGTCCAATCAACCTTATACCAGTACCGTATACTGCTGTACTGTTATAGCCAGTATGTATTCATATTATCATATATATATATATTAATTCAGTAATTGAAACGATAGATCTTACTCTACAGCTCTATTTCCCGACTGCCCCATACTGCCATAATCCCACTGAACAATACATTAATACCCAGCACTAAACAACACAACACCTACACTGACATTATTGAATCCAAGATGGCTTACAGAAATACTGCCAACCCAATACTGCAGTAATTACAAAAGCGAACAAGATATGACTGTCGACCGACCAAATATCAAAATCCAAAAGTCTGGAATTCGTCAAATCAAACGGACAAATTAAGGAGTAAAGCAACAAAAAAACGCGCGTGATTAATTACGCGTTTGAAATATAGCGTCTGATTGGCTGCTCTCCTTAACCAGTGTGCGCGCGCAACATTGACTAATGCCACGCCTCCCATGTCGGTGATTATTACCGACATTTGTAGGTGAATCATTTTACCGACCTCATTTTTTAATTTTTTACCCCTAAAATGACGGTAAAATTTACCGAACATTTCTTAGAGTGTGCTAGTGTCTTAATTTGAATATACCTAACTGCGGGAACTTCCATTGCGTTTAGATTAAGGTATTTCGTAGTTATCTCACATGTTACGAATTTTCCGTTGATATACGAAAAAGGTAAAGCCGATAGGTGTTACTGTTAAGGCAACAAGTCTCCTGTGATTCAGATTATCTGGACGAGTGGTGTTACAACAGGTGGTGGAAAGTGTTTTGCAAGGGCCGCATATGGAAACTTTTTTTAAGTTTCGCATTAAGAAAAATACCTCTTCTTTTTCAAAGACTATATCATATAGTTCACCTTCACATACCTTTACTAAATATGTAATATTTAAAATATCCCAAATTAAATTTTCTTTTAGCTATATATATATATATATATAAGATATAAATATATTTAATGACAAAGTAAAAACATATATAGTTTAGAATCTCAAAGGGTGGGGTAGCGTGAAGCTACTTAAAATCAAAATACTTTTTAAATTTGATCTTGCCCGCATTATTTTAATATTTCGAAACTTTTAATTTATTTCATTATGTACATTCCACGCACGTATTTTTAACTTATTTTTGAAATTAAACCTATTTTTGCCTAACTATCTGTTATTTGTAGCTTATTGTTAGCTAGTTATTTGTGAGGTGGGGTGCAAGGCTTGACAAATTCTAAAAAGCGGCTTGAAAGTTTTAGAACCGCTGGTTTAGATAATCTAAACAAAGTTTGAAAATATGTCTACATTTTGTATGTATTTGTTAGAGATTTCACAACTTCCTCCGATGCTTTGACAGGCGCAATTTGACCATCCGGGAGTTACGATAATAAATCGTCGCAAAACGTTTTATATAATAGCTAAAGAATGAAAGCACTTGGGGTTTGTTTGAATACTTTGGTATGAGGTAGATCCGGGTCTGAATCGATACTCTTATTCCTAATATAGTACACAGATATAAATATGCAGAAAATTAATATAATTTGAGCGTATTTTTTGTGATACATGTTTAGCTTCTTCTGTTTTCCGGGAACAAGAATTCAAGAAATCGTCACAATTGTCTAAACATCGTTTTGCTTTCACTCTGCTCTCGCATCCCATACCCAACATGGACTGTCAACCGGACCTGATACCGGTTTTCCAGATTTTTATTTTAGTTTTTTTTTTCCAAATTTAGGGGGTAGTATATATTATGTTATTGGTGATAAAACCATTTGTAACCTATAAAATTGTTTTAGGTATTTTATTGATTATTTTCACCGGAATATGAACCACTTTCTGAATATCCAAATACTTTTTTTTATTTAGTGTCACATGAAAGTTAGAGAGGTGGGGTGTTCGAAATTTTAGGGATGGGAGGGGGGAGGGGGTGCTGTAGGGAAATCACTGCCTGATATCATCTTTAATATGCGTAAGTTGGGTTTTGCTTTTCATCGGGAAAGTCCGCACACAAATCCGTAAAGGACTTATATACAGAGTGGATTGAACGAATACCCGTAGACTTAAATATTATTTTAAGCTGCAGCTTAAAAACGTACTAAAAATTGGCTATTCTCGTCTTATTTTATCAGCAACCCGCACAGTTGGAGAAAAAATAAGTGCATGAGTTATATTTATAATGGATTAGTGACAAACGGAAAGCGCTGCGGGGTAAGTGTACACGACACAAAGACTAAATATAAGCCGTCTAGCTCGTTTTAATTAAAGCATGTTAAAATAGAAATTGATGTCGGCGATGTATTTTGTATCTGGCTTTTCGATATTTAATGGGGATCTTGTTATCCTACTTATGAAGAAAGTTTATAAAAAGTAATCGGTGTATTTGAACCAGTAATAAGTAGTTTATTTTCTCAGCATGCTAAAAATATTCACTGAACATACAGCATATTAAAGGAAACAAAAATGGCATTCATGGGTGAGGCGCAAAAAATGCTACGCTGTAATATCGAATGTGGGATGTCGACGGGTTTGTGCTGTTAATCTAAAACTGAATTGTCAATGAAAATGTAGGGAGGGGCATGGTTCACGTCAAGCTAAATTTTCAACGTTTGCAAAATAAATACCGTAATAAGTCATTTCCGTCTTACCAGACACCATATTGTACCTTAACTTTATGCATCAAAGAACGTATAGTTCCGGTAAATATAGATTTGTATATATAGAACTAAACTGACTTGCACTACATGATTTTGTCGTAAATTCCGGCATATAGTACGCTGAGTAAAACGCGGTACCGTCTTGTATGCCCAAGTTATTTCCGTAGGCTTACCGAACTACAACACACCCTCGAAACGCCCGTTATGATCGGATTAACTTATTGCGTCAGAAACGTCTTCAATGGTTGTTCATGACGACTGCCGGTATTGTTTATTACGTGATAATGGCCACGTGAGGAATTCGCGCCGTATGACCAGTTGTGAGATATACCGGTACATATTTGAAGTATATTAGTTCATTTTTATAGCATTTTAACTTCATATTTTTAGGAAAATTTAACGCCATGAAGAAGGCAAATATTGTCTGGCTTTCGCGGTAATCCCAGGCCCGAGTTGCGCCCACAGCTGCGCGGTTTCCTGTTGTATATACAAATATATTAGACTGTTAAAACCATATACCGGTATATATAGCTGAATTAAGATGAAAACTTGCGCTGTACAAAGTAAAATACAGTGCGTACTTAAAACAGCGGTAAAACAAGCTCCATCGAGTAAACGCCAAGGACAAAATTATTGTGTTGAAGCTACTCAAGAAATTTGTCAAGAGGCAGAAGAATGCGATTTTACTAAGGCTATAGCAAGTGAAAAGTTTGATGGAACTTGCTGTCATGTAAGAATTAATAATGGACGGTTAATGCTATGGGCTAGGTTGGATAGGAAACCAAGCAAAGGTGCCGATAAGAGGTTTAAAGCATATCAGAGAAAACATAGAGAATGGAAGCTTACAAAAACTGGTGAAGAGCCAATTTTTCAATGGAAGTTTCCAAATGATTTAAAAACTGTGCCAGAGGAATGGATTCCAGCAGATGACATTAAAATAGATGATTCAACTAAATTTCCAATCCCTGACGAAAACGGACATATCCCAGGTTGGGTTCCAGTTGAAAGTACGAACCCACAATACTGCTGGCATTCGTCAGTCATAGATTATAACACTGGTATGGCATTGACTTTAAAACTATATAGTGACACCAAAAATGGCGACAAAGCAGTTGAAATTTCACCAACGCCTCTTGCTGATCTAGACAGAAAAACTCTCGAATTGATTGGAACTAATATTAATGGAAATCCATATGGTTTGGGTAGCAAAAGTAAGCCTTTCCATGTATTAGTTGAACATGGTTGTATATCTCTATTAGACTTACCTCAAAGCATATCATATGAATCAATATATACATGGTTTACCTCCAATTCTCATGCGTCTGTTGAAGGAATTGTTTGGCATTTTTCGTCAGGTAAAATGTTCAAGTTACATCGTCACCACTTAAAATTGTCATGGCCACAGAAAGAGGCGAAGCCACTTTTACGAGACCGTCCTGTGATCATAAAAACTGGCAGTTTGCCTTTTAAAGAATATTCTTCTAATTCAAAATCTATGTTTAAATATTTGTTTTCATTGAATAGTACATCGTTTTCAAAATTTAGAGATATTTTTGAAATTAGTGAGTCAGTAAATGGTGCTGTTTAGTTGCTTCAGTTTATAAGATCATCTATTCTAAGTCTGCTAGCTATATTTGATCGTTTCAGTTGTTGTTTTCAATTTATTGAATTGGATTGTTTGTAATAACTTCTAGTCTAGAGCCCTGCTCATATAGAAGTCGAGAATATACCTCAAGGAAAAATGCAGCCGTTATTTTTTTATCACAATCCTGAAAATTACAATTTTTAGATTATAAATTTGGAAGTATTTAAATACTAAGAAGTCAATTTTTGAATGTAATGTGTTGTATGTATAAAAATAGACCTGAAAACTATTTTTCATTAAATGATACTTTGATAGTCATTTTGCTGGGTAATTCGATGGTAAAGTTTTGCTGTAGTTCTATTTTTGATGTTCTTATTACATTTTTTACAAACAAAGTCTCTTATCCTATCAGTAGAAAACCCGTAACCCAAACACGGATATGGAAGTTTCTGTTTATTCCCGCGATTAAACTTTGGAAGCACTTGTTTCTTCGACAAGTTATTGAAAGTTGCCTGAGTCAACAGTTGAATAGTGTCCTTATATATAAGTGTTATTGCGACTTTAGAAAAATAAATATTTCACCATTCAATATCATAATTAGAAGTTTAGGCTTCTTATCAAACTTGTTTTTTATAGGATTAAAAGTGACACACTCAATTTATTCGCACATAAGTTTTACAGACAAATTCCAGAAATTTTCATATACAAATAGTTTGGTATTTCAGTTTTTTGCTTTAAAAGTATTTTTTAATTATATACCAGATTTATCAAGCAGAATGATTACCGGTATATTGAACTAGAATGAGTTTGGTATAACCATAAAAATATCAAAGTCTACAGAAAAAAGTTCTTTTTCTTTTGAAATATACTTTTTTGTTTAAACTAAATTATGAGATCCTTGCCCATGGCACACCCACTCTGACATTATTTATCCAAGCACCCAGGTGAAACTGGTAAAGTCTTGTATGTCATGTTTTTCAGTAATTTATTAATTTTCTACTAAATAATGACGTATTCCCGATATGTAAATAAATTTTACGCTGTCCCCCAAAGTTCCCGCCTACAGCACTCATGTTATACCTCCGACACACCCACTCTAATTTTATTTGTTCGGGTGACAGGGTGATGCAATTACTTTTACAACCATATGCTATTTTAGAGTACAGTGCTGAGTGCCTTGTTACATATGAGTCAGGTTCACGTATACTAGTATTATAATGAAATATTTGAGAATTTGTCAATTTTTCCTAATACATGATGTATAGTAAACTTGCTTTAAAATTGTTCTCCCGAGATTTCAGATTTGGTATTCCAGAATTCTCAGTCTTATGCTTATAAATTGCAATAATTTTTCATCAAAATAAGGTGTCTCTATAACCAACCAATAACCCTCTATGAAGGATGCAAATTGCGACTCTGACCATATATTAACATGAGGTATCAAATCCGCCCCCCCCCCCCCTCCCCTATTTGATTTAGGTGACATATATCGAATATCCTCGCATATAATTCGAGTTCGAAACTCAAAAAAAGTTGTCAAACTTTAGGGTCTGCTTATTACAAGCATACCTCTGATAGCACTAAAAATTCGGCATATACACGCAAAACTCTGATGCATATATGGTTATCATTTTCATTAAATGGTGCATACGGCGTGTCACGATTTGTAGGGTCGGCTTTTATGCAAATTTTATCAAATTCACTACTTTAGGCCCTTTTTTAGGGGGCTGCCTCATAAGCGAGATCGACTTATATGTGAGGATATAGTGCCTCACGCCTTCGTATTACCTGTAACGGTGCATATCAAATTCTAAGGAGTTACCGTAATTGGAATTGCTGGTGCATCCCCCTTATCTGTGTAGTGTTTCCATCCAGGTGCTGCTCACTGTTTATTTATTATTGAATATTGTAATTCGATAGTTTTCTGTGGAAAGCTACACAACCAATGTGACATATAAATTTATTTTTGGGACGTCAACCCCAATTCCACCTCTAAATATTATGGCACCATATTTTACTTTATATTTATTGGCCAATGATGACCCCACCCACACAGAACACGCCCCCTACTCATCTCTAAATCTGACTTTGGGACAAATCCACTTCAACATTTTAATATCTAACATTTTTGATACTTTTGATTGGCTCTACACGGTACACACCCACTTGTCTGATTACAGACTTCAATAAGTACTTAAAGCTTAGAATACTTTCATTTTGACATCATTTTTCCAGTACATCACTGCAATCGAGAATTGAATCTGTAATTTTTGACGTTTACAGCCAGGCATAGCAAGGATTTTTAGTGAGGGTTTACATCCGTAGCATAATAAGAAGGCAATTCCGGGTGTGAAAATAAAACTCAAAAAAGGTATAATTATCGGACGAGTTCCAATCATGGGAGACGCGAATACTAGTGCCTATGAAACGACGACGTGCAATGGGGGTGTGAAAAGCAGTCGGTCGGACAGTTTGGAAAAGATTGACCCATTCGCAGTCGAGCAGGAAGGTCTTCTAACTGAAGAGGTAATTTTTTTCTTACGAGTCGTATGTTCTATCACAAATAGTGCTTGTTTTACAAAATGTGCCATCAGGTGGAATTGAAGCCAACTTTATTTACATTCAGAATTCTTTCAGGTTTTCTGTTCCTGATGGTTATTGGGAGTTATTTTTATCTTATTTCTGTTACTGATGGTTCTTGGAGTTATTTTTATCTTATTTATGTTTTGTGCAAAATTCACTTACCGTAATTCAGACAATATGTCCATAAGAGTAATTATTAAAAGATATGAGATAGGTATTAGGCTCGTGGATTATCATAGTTTAACCATGTGTATATTCGTAACAATTCATTTTGATATCTTAATTGTACGTGCCGGTATCAACCTCTTCCGGGCGCACTTCCCTCTCCTGGCCTGCGAATATCTATCAGCTTCTATTTATTTTGGCCCCCGTTCAATAAACTTTGGAATTCAACAAACACTGAATTTAGACGAATAGGTACTTGGCTCTGTGAATATATAATATGTTAAATTTTAAAATGTGGGCAAAAGTTATGTTTTGGCTCATTGAATAATTTAGTGATTTAATTAATTGGAATCCCACAAAAAAAAATTATATACTTTCTGTAAAACAAATCGTTCCAATCCATATTTGGGTAATATCACAAATATCTTAAATTTAAAAATACTAATATCATATGAGCATAAATAACTCCAGAATAAAAAAATATTCTCATATGCTGAAGTTTCGCGGAGGAACGTTAGTAATCTGTTAATATTCAAATTTTTTAATTTGTGAATAAAGCGCTATATAATAAGGGCATTTGAACAAGTCAGGACATTAATAATATTATATTAAAATATGATCCAAAATAAAATGCTCTTAAAATTTTTACAGAATTTTAACGAAGAAATATTGATAATTGTTCAAATTTTTCTATAGCTTACAGGTCTTTAATTTTCAGGATAAAAGTGACAGCTCATCCGATAGCTCCGACTCCGATGGACAAATAAAAGAACGTCCGGCCTGGGATAATAAATTCCAATACATTATGGCCGCACTCGGGTTCGCTGTTGGTCTCGGAAATATTTGGAGGTTTCCTTACTTGTGTCAAAAGAATGGAGGAGGTAAGAATTGAATTTGTATTGAAAATAATAAAAAACAAAAATTTCAATCAGAAAAATGGACTGGAATTTTGGATAAAAAGCTATAAAAACATTGTCCGTCATTACCGATTAAAATCGATAAGTATATGTTGATAGGTATTTGTCTGTCTGTCTGTTAGATGCACGCGATATCTCACGAAAGCGAGGCTGAATCTACTCCAAATTTTGCATGTGCATTCATCATATGTTGGACCAGGAGCCTATTGAAATTGGGTGAATTATGTCGTATAATTAGCGAGTTATTAATTAATTAGTGATAGAACACAAGGTGTCACTATGGAGTAACAGCGCTGTTTTGGGGATCCTATAACTTTCGATCGATAAGTCTTCGGTCTCTGACCGATATTCTCGTTTAGTGTCATGCTCGATTTGTAACCTAATATCTGAGTAATGGCAGAGTGCTTTAAAAAACAGAAGCTCCCTACATATCATAAGTGCATGCTTGTCTAAAGAAAAAATAGTGAATAAGCAAAATTTGAACAAATTCATCTGTTGAACATGACCAAAGTCAGAATAAAGAGTGTCCTAAAATCCATTAATTCGATTACCAATTTTGTAGGTTACCTTCATTTTGGGACACTTGATGTTCAAAGATATTTTCACAAATATTATTTTAAAATAGTAAATTATTCGGTTCAGCCATTTTTGCTCTCAGCTTGTGACTAGAGCCATGTTCTGAGTGATCAACATATAAAAAAATTTAAATTCAAATCTTGTTCTTATCTTTCTTTATCAATTTGTAATTTGATCTGTGAGTGAAATACGTTATTATCTTGTGCACTCAGTTTTGCCCTCATCTTGTCTAAAGCCTTAGTCTGAGTGATTAATGAAAAAAATTTTCTACAGGTGCTTTCCTAATCCCATATTTCGTCATGTTGTTCTTGGAAGGATATCCGTTGTACTTCTTGGAACTTGCCGTCGGTCAAAGCATGAGAAAAGGGGCAGTGGGCGTGTGGAGTCATATACACCCTCAGTTAGTTGGGGTTGGATTTGCCAGCATTGTGGTAAGTTCTTTCATGAATATGTGGGAAGTCTCCTGTAGTATGTGTACCAGGTTAGGGTTAGGCCATATTTTTATTCCGATTTTCCTTATTTTAGTTCTATTACGAGTTCGGTGGCTGTCTGTGTTAGCCAAGTGAATATACCCCCTGCCTATAGGTTTCAGTACCTTTACACGACTTGATATAAAGTAGGCGAACAAAATTAGTTGCCTCCATATTGGTACACACACACCTGGGTAGCTCTTTTTTGTATGTCAAACATTTGACGGAAAATAAATAAGATATTTTTAGCATGCTGGCATATTGAATGATCTGCCGGTGTTTGCGTCCATAAGATGTCTCACAATTTTGAAATAGTAAAATTGAAATGATGAATTCTTTAAATTGCAAAAAGACTTTCTAAACAAAAGGTAAAAGTAAATGGTTAATGGAGATTTTCTATTCCAGGTTTCTCTTCTTATTGGTCTATACTACAACATGATATTGGCTTGGACATTATTTTATTTATTCAATTCATTTCGTTCGGAACTACCATGGGCAAAATGTCCGGAAAATAACGGAACAATTGTTCACGAATGTGCTGTTAGTTCGTCCACAGCTTATTTCTGGTATCGAGATACTTTGGATATTTCTGGCTCTATTGAGGAAGGAGGTAAGATTGCCTTTGCATGATTCTGTTTAGTTGTTCATTGCACATTTGCTTTGATATAGCCCAGAGGTGGCCAATATGGTGACCGTAAATTTGAACCCACGTGCATTTGAACCAATTACATTTGAACCCATGTATATATCCGCAGGTTCAATCTATATGCGGGTGCTAAAACCCATGGGTTAGGGTTAGTATGGGTTCAAATATCCAAAAAACAAAAAAAATTTCCATAGGTACAATAGTATGCAGGTGCAATTGTCGTGGGTTCAGATGTGCGTGGTTCAAATGTACGTGGGTTCAAATGTACGTGGGTTCAAAGGTACGCGGGTTCAATTGTAATGGAACCGGCCAACACATCGATCAGATTGGAAATTAAGTTCACGTACATTTTTTGGGTGACTTTATTAACAATCTGTCAATCACAAAATATTACGAAGATTTTAATCTATCTCAATAGAAGACAGGTTCGCCAACCCTGGTATAGCCCATTGGGTGTATTATTTGAACCCTGAAAATAAAAAAATTTGTTTTTAAGTTTATGCGGCTTCGTGCATTTGTATATTGATGAAACTAGTAACCTTAACCAACTGCAACACCAACATCAAGTTTAATACTTACACTGCTACGCTTTCATGCACATAATAGTTGCCCATATTGATTGGACCTTTCTACCCTTTTTTTTCTTGTCACACAATTCTGGGCTAGCTTGATGTCGCGTATAGCTAGTTGCCAGTCCATTCTATGATGTCGTCGTACTACTGACGTCTAGGCCTGCTCTTTTTCCATTTTGAGTACTAAAATATTTCAACTTTTTTGATGTGTCATGATCAAAAATCTCTCCTTTTTCTGCCCAAAATAAATGAGGTTTTCCAATATTTCATTTTATTCCAGGAGTGGCAAATTGGAAAATGGTTGTCAGTCTTTTCGTAGCTTGGGTTTTAGTATTCTTCGGAATCATCAAAGGAATCAAATCATCTGGCAAAGTTATGTATTTTGCAACTATCTTTCCGTACGTTATATTGATCGCGTTCTTCGTTCGAGGAATGACACTAGAGGGAGCTGCAGCAGGAGTTGTTCATATGTTCAAGCCTGACGTGAGTAGTTTACGAGTAGTTAATTTGTTTTTCTATGTACTTTTACGTCTTTACTACGAACAAGACTGGGTACTCTCGTAGTGTCTCAAGCTTTTTAAACTCAGATACCAACATACCCGGTTGAAACTCTTTAACTACCTCCCTGCTTATGTAACTTAGAGCTCTAGCAAGTAAGATTAAGCAAGCAACAATCACTTTTGAACACTAAAGTGATCTGTAATCGAATTATACTCTTATTTCTTCACTAAGCACACCTAAGAACATAGTTCAAGCAGATATTGAAATTGATATTTTTCTGAAGAGACCCATTTCAAAAATTAGCTCCATTCTCAGACTAAAAATTCATGTATCAACATCTGATTGTATAGAGCTTTTGGCGCTCCAGAAGTGTGTGTACCAATATGGTTAACACAGACAGCCCCCGAACTCGTAACAGAACTAAGATTGGAATAAAATTATGGCCCAACCCTAACCTGATACACACACTACGAAGCTTCGTTCTAACGGAAAACTGCAAAAATCTTGCATACAATGAATAACCATCCAATCCGGACAGTTTTGTTACGTATATGTATTTTTCTTGGTTCATTAGTTGACTTATTGTCTGGGTTCCTATATTTTAACATAAATTTATTTTTTTTCAGCTTACAAGACTTGTTGACCCGGTAGTATGGAGAGAAGCAGCCACTCAGATATTCTTCAGTCTAGGACTTGGCTACGGAGCAATCATCGCTTATTCAAGTTATAACCCATACAATAATAATTGTAAAAAGGTGAGACAGCATTTTTAATGAAAGATCTGATCCTTTAGATATCAGCGACTGTTTGCCCAGAGGAGCGTTCCTCAAACTTTCTTTTTCTGGAACACCTACGCTTATTATCTTGCTTCGCGCAACACCCAAGAAATTAGAAGGTAAAATTGGAGTGTGGTTTCAAAAAAATTCAGCCTAAGGTAAAATTAAAAAGTTTGCTGTAAACTTTTGGGAGACGGTTTTACGACCCAGAGTCGCCAAAGTACGACCGAGATTGCCATGGTGACCAATTTAGTAGAAATCATCAAGCCCACTGTCTTCTTCTCAACGTGATAAACATTAAAATCCTATTCTGAATCTGCTAAATATTTCTCGTCTAGGATGCCTTGTTTGTGGCTTCAGCTAACAGTTTGACTTCGGTATTTGCTTGCATCACTGTCTTCTCTGTTCTCGGATTTAAAGCAAATCTGGCGACCAAGGAATGTATGGAAGTGTAAGTTATCATTGTTTTAAATTGAATGTGGTGTTCTAGAACAGGAGCTTTCAAGCCTGGACTCCTCCCAATATATTGAAATTTTCTGTGACCCTGTCGGTTATGCAAGCACACCGCTTCTCATGTCCTTCTATCAAAATCTGCATTGTTATGCAACGGTGCCGCTTTACTGATCCTATTTATTCTTTTGATTTTGTTTTATTATCAAAAGTCGATAGATATAGTACTCTGTGTGAAACCTGTGTGCTCTTTGCGAGCCCCAGAATTTGTTGCGTGCCCACCTGCGAGATCGTGACCCACAGTTTGGATAGCCCCGGTCTTAAACAGTGACTCTAAATCTTTCATAGTTCATCCCTCCTTCCAGGGACTCTCAACACTTGGGGTCCCCTCTTTGTCATTCAAAATACTAGTTTCTCGATTGGCACGTTCTCACCAGTTCTTTTATTTACCATGTTTTATAATAAAGTAAAAAAAAACTAAAATAAAAGAATAAAACGCAGTACACCCAAAGATTTAAACAAATCAATTTAGGAACCAGTATGGGAAATTGCTATTATATTATTTATCAGCCCCCTTTCTGAAATAAACGGAATTGCTGAATTATGACAATGATAGTAAATGTTAAAATATATTTGCAATTAAATATAGCCTATTTGAATATCATAAATTTAAGATTTCACTAATAATTTCATTTTTTTCTGACATCAGACAGTCAGTTAAAAATATACCGTATATAACATTGATATCGTTTGTAAAAGTTCTGGTATTTTTCCATCGTCTCTTCAGCATTTGTGATTTGACGAGAATAAGGAAGTAAACTGTTGATGTAATTGTTGTTATCCTGTATTGAACTGCATAATGGGGGAAATCGTTTTTAAATTTTCATTATGACATCATAAAGTTATGTATGACCTAACAATGCCATTTCAAAACAAACTGACTCAAATTAGTGTTTACTGTTCAGTTGACATCAAATGACTTGCCGATGTGGTCTATGCACTGCAAATATAATTTTTTTTTTCATATTGTTCACCTCCCTCCCCCCTTTTCTGTGTTGTTCTGACATAGAATGATCCTATTTTTCATTTAAATTTCGCATATTTTGACGAAACGAGAGAGACAACACACAGTGCCGTTTTTGTTACTTTATTACAACGCTCGATTTAATGCTTAGAAAGATTGCTACCTTTATTACCGCAAAATGAACCGTCTGTTGGATTTCGTAAAATAGCTAATTCAATTGGTATGCGTCTACTGAAATTAGCATGGTCTGGTTATAACAGACTTTGTCGCATAAATTTGACATTCGTAAAACTGATATATGTACAATTATTACCCGGTTGCATAATTTTTGATATTTTCCACCGATGCCCTGATATGAACATTGAATTAAGTTATGAAATGCGTATAGAGCGGAAAAATACAATACATTTTTTTCGAATCTGTAATTAATAACATCATAGCGTATTTCAAGCGAATTGAGCATTAGCACTCGTTCATTTCTCTGTATAACTCAGGAAATGATGACGCGTCCTTTAAAAGTAATAACGCTGGTTTATACTGTGAGTTATGAATTTCTATTACTGGGAAAATTACTGGTATAGTTTCATCCCAGGGGAGAGGATGGCTGATAATACAGCAAGCGATTCTTTGAAACACTCTACAATTATTGAGATTGCAAGAATTTAAATATGTTCTAAGATAATATTTTCTATTAACGAATATCAAGTCCATGCTTCCGAAAACAAATAACTGGCTAACTAATACCATACTCGACATGGACTGGTAACTGGAGGGGGGGGATAGGTTCGGCATATGTCTAAGCCGCCTTATTGGCACTCTTCTCCCCTAGAAATCATATGTAAATCTTATATCACACATTGCATAGGCGAAATTTTGTAAATATTTTATTCCGATACAAGAATAATTCTAGTCCGAAAAATGGTAATGCCCTTTAATAATGGGCTCGTCAAAATAGCCCAATGGCTCACCCAGGGGGGTGGAATTTTCAAAAAGGCGAGTTCTGAAATTTTTAATTGCCAAGTAAGACCATAACACAGGGGTCGGGAACCTTGTTGGTCAAGAGAGCCATAAAATATACATATTTTCAATTGCATTTTCGTGCGAGCCATATAACATTTCTTCACTTAATCAGGCTTGAAATGTTTACTTAAAAGTCAACACATACAATGTCAATATACATTTAATGTGATTTCTGATGCTGCATGTAGTCGCTGCGGGCCTTGAACGGTTGCTCACATTCAGCCCAAGTTGAAATCTACGATACTCATCACCCTTTTTTGTTTAGGCATCTCCGTAGTGTTTTTGAAACTCACAATGTCACAATATATGTGATGTCACAATATATGTTCCAGAATCCCCTTGTTTGTCACAATGCCTGTCTGGTAATTATCTTACATAACATAGACATGTGCTGGACGCGCGTTCTCAAACGTATTGGGAATTTCCTGCCAAATTTGGCTATAAAAGAGTTTGAAATTTCGTAACAATAGTAAGCTTAGTCTTGGGATATTAGATTTTTCTGGGAGCCATATGCCGTCACCAAAAGAGCCATATATGGCTTTCGAGCCATGGGTTCCCGACCCCTGCCATAACAGCTAGCTTCTGACCCCTCAAAACCCTCTGGTTACGCTCTACTCACCCTCTCATATCAAAGCGCTTCTAAAACACTTCTGAAATACTAATAGTTATAAGCCAGCATTCTATTATTATTCACAGGAATCGTCAAACAGTTCTCACTGCATTCCCTGAATCATACTTCATGAAGAATTCATCCTACGTTGAGTTTCTTCAACACATGGATGAATTGAATTCATCTTATCCAGATATTTTTCAAAATTTATCGATATCGAATAAGAATTGTAGCATTGAAGAAGAATTGAAAGAGGTATGTGTATTCAATGAACATATTTATGTTTTGTTTTTTGGTATGTATATAAACCGAATCAAAATTATTTTGAGCAATTAAACTTTCACAGCACGATCAAATTGTCCTTTAGGTTATTTCTTGATGCCACGGTTATGGGAATGGGGTTTGAGAATTCAGATCTGCAATGCCGTCAAAATTCAGGTTCATCACTTTAGTCTGTATTTTATCTCTGAGCGAGTGTGTATTACCTCCTTATTATAAGCAAATCCTTCAAAAAACTGAACTTTAATTTTCTTGTTTCAGATCGGTCAAGGAACCGGACTCGCTTTTATTGCATTCGCAGAAACAATTCTAAGTTTTCCTGGCGCCCCCGTGTGGGCCGTTTTATTCTTTTTCATGCTTCTATGCATCGGGATGAGTTCAGAGTTCGGGATATTACAAGCTTTTATCACAATGGTTCTGGACTTTGGTTATAAAGTTTCAAAATTGAAGTTGACGTCTGCACTATGCTTAAGTAAGTAATAAAATTGAATAACCATGGTATTGGTGGGTCTAGTGCAGGGATGGGCAATTACTTTCCTAAGTGGGCCACTCACAGATAATAGGGTGCTCCCGAAGTATGTGAACCAAGATGGCGGACATCGGAACGTAACATGGGTAACAGGTTAGGGTTAGGCGATAATTTTTTTCCAATTTTCCATATTTTAGTCCTATTATCAGCTCGAAGACTAGCCAAGAGCCTCCCGTAGTATTTATACCTAAAATTATGGCCCAACCCTAACCTAGTACACATATTACATTCCGATGTCCGCCATCTTGGTTCGCATACTTCGGGAGCCCCGATAATAGACTTGGTTACTGGGCTGGAGGTTCGAAACTTGATATGAAACTATGAATGAAAAACTGTTTATTCACAAATAACTAGCATCAATAACTATTGCCTGCCTGCCTGCTATTGAGGGTAGCTCACTCTGATGACTCTATGGTCGTATTGCTTCCCCTAGTTTATACCGAATAAACTTGTGTATTTTTATCTATTTTATTGCACCATCGCTTGTTTTCTGGTTGACGAAACAATAAATCTCTCTCTTTCGTTCACTATAATATAATATATGAATACGTCATATAAAACCGGAAAGCCAAAACTGAACAATCCACTATTCCGAATACATTTTTAAATAATTTCATAACTAAACAAATTGATTTGGACAATCAAATGATTCTTTAGGTTGAATTGGTTGTGCCCAGCTGTTAAAGGGTTCACCTTAACAGAGTTTTTCCCATTCACCATTCTCATCTAAATAGACTTTCTGAGCAAAGTTTGAAAACCTCTCACAAGAATATTTATAATTGCTAATCCATCATTTCTCATTCTCAGGCATGTTTATAATCGGTTTGATCTTCACGATGAGATCCGGGAGTTATTTCCTTGACATATTCGATGGATACTCAGCTACGTTTGGACTTGTTTCTGTTGCACTCTTCGAAACAATTGCAGTTGCTTGGGTCTTCAAACTGGAAAAGTGAGTGCTTTATGTTATTTTTGTATGGAACTCTGTTTAGAGCAAGACTTTAGGCCCTCTAACTGATATACAAGAGAGTTACATGCGAACCTTCGGGCCTCGGTTCGACATGTTTTATTGATATCGGAGACGTAGTTCAAAGTCAAATCAAGTTTAATTTTCAGTAAAAGTCAATCATGAATACACACATTACGAGAAAGTGATAATTACAGTTTTACTGGAGAGGGGAAGTCGCTGCAAGCTAAAACTGGTTATGTATCAAGTGCGATATCAAGAGTTGCATTTTCGACCACTTTGAGTCATCATTTCAAACTTGTAATGTTGATGATCAAAGAAAAATTTTCAACACACTCTAAAATTCGACGAAGCATTCTCAACAGATAATTAGAGAATAGACAAAATTTTTTAGTAATATACAGGGTGTCCATAAAGTCCCTTTACAATTTCAATTTTGTTATGAAGTCAGTTCTCAGTAATTGTTCGAGTATTTTTACTTTATTCAATCTGCGAGGAGCTGAGGGCCGAAAAATATATGGTATCGATAAATTTGCTTCGAAAGTTTAAAAAATGTAGAGGACTTTAAAGACACCCTATATATTTTGATATATATTATGTCTTTCCGTTATGGGTGATCGTGGTTAAAGCGTTGTGCTTTGCTCGTCTCACATATTTGGCACAACTTTGATAACATTGCAGTTTCAAATCTCAGATTCAAATCTCATGCTCACAACTCTAGGGTGTAATGAATTGGGTTGGAATGCTGAACCAGATAATAATCCAGTCCTTCCAAACTAAAGCAGCTCTTCGTCAAGCAGTGACAGCTTGTGCAAAGTCTTGTTTAGAGCAAAACGAGTATACACGCCTTGTTTTTTTCTTGTAAAATAACCAGTCCACTTATTTTTATTTTTTATTTTTCAGCTTTGAAAATGACATAGAAAGAATGATTCACTCAAAACCAGGATTGTATTGGAGAATATCGTGGAAATATACGTGCCCATTTATTATGGTCGTTATTCTAATCGCAAGCTTCGTGGACATGTTTCTCAATCCACCGAGTTACTACGCTTGGAACAAAGACACCGGCACGAAAGACGAGTTAACTTATCCACCTTGGGCTGTGTTTATTATCGTTTTATTGATACTAAGCTCGATGCTCTGTATCCCGTTATTTGCGGCTCTCGTACGTTTCGGAATTTTCGACCCGAAATGGATTGGTGTCAATTCCTACGGAAGAAATAAAAGAGCAGAACAAAATGATAATGATGATATCGGAGTTACGGAATCTGCAACTCCATTGAATTTAAATTCTACGAACAAAGTTTGATTTTCGATATTTATTATCGACTAGGTGGCATATTTTTTGTGAACTGTCCAACACATTTGAAAATATGTTTCAGTGTCGTTTTCAGTTCAGAGCAGATTAAAATCCACATGGGGGCGCTGCTAAGGTATTAGTTTTTCATGACGCTGAAAATTTACCATTTCGAATGAACTAAGCACTCTGTAAGAAGCACATAGTTATAGAATCCAAAGGAGATTTATATTTATGGATTATTGAGCAGATTCTGGTCGTTCCTTAAACATGGCGGCATCATCTCATTTCTGTTGAAATGGCATTATTCTGGCCAGACACAGTTCACTGATTTTTATCATTTGGGTATTATTACTCCGTTATAGTCTAAATACAGAGAAGTGTAAAATAGCGGCATCAGCTCTGCCCTGTTGATATGGCATTATTCTGTCCAGACACAGTTCACTGATTCTTATCATTTGGCATTTTACTGCACTATAGTCTAAAAACAGTGAAGTATAAAATAACGACATCGGCTCTTCCCTGCTGAAATGACAATATTCCGGCCTTTCACGCATCATTGGTTTTTGTTGAGATAAAGTTTTAATAATGAATGCTTATATCTTTATATTACATAGTATGAAGTGTTATGAATTGGAAACATGAAGCATTTTCATCTACCTCAATTAGTTATGGTTGACAGTGGAAACATAGTATTATTTATTGAAATCCATTTTAATTTCCGGTGAAAGAAAATCATTAATGTGTGTCATATTTCGGACATATTGGGGTGTACCCAAACCCTCATTTACCCTTTTATGTGTCAGTAGAACTCTTCTCAAGTGCTTTCAACATGCTATGAGCACACTTTTTCTAATCTGTATTTATATATACGCTTTAGATCTAGAACAATTAACCCGTAATTAAGTATTCCCTCATCTGGACTGGCAATTAGACAAGAAACATCTCCCTTCATTACCCCTTTTAAAATCCCCCCACTTCAATGGCGGCTCCCTATCGCTTCAGGGGTGCATTTGGGGGAGCCCCCCCCCTTTACCCCCACAAAATAAAATCCCGCTTCAACTTAAAAATGGACTTACTTGAGTAGCCTGCCACCTCTAAACCCAAGAACCATTAGCCCCCCATATTATTTTAATTTTAACACTCAAGCTATCCTATCAGCTTTCCTTCCACCATTATAAATATGAAAATTATTCATATGCTTAAGCTTTGAATACATTTCTATTGAATATCGATGAAGCTCGGTTTTAAAAATGCTTCATGCTTTTGTTAATGTTCAATATTGTTTTTGTTTTTCTATATTTATTATTTTCAAACATATATTTTGAATTTAACATGGGATAGCAGCTTTGCTTCTGTTTTAAAGTTTATTCAAATTCATTAGCCTTATGGCTATACTATGTAGCAACTCAATATTTAATCACTATATTGGAGCTTTAATAAGTTTATGAAGGTGCAACATACTTATTTCTGCGCTTAATCAGCTAGGACCATTGGTAAACTATTTCCCCCCCTAAGTTTATGGGGCCTGTGAAAATTTCAATATTAGACTCCCCGTCCCAGGGCCATTAAAAAAAAAATTTATAAAAGAGAGAGAATTTTTTTTATTTAGTCAACCAGAAAACACATGATATAAAAAATAATAATTTGATCAAAACCATTCAGAAAAATACTTTTTCCTATGAAAAAATTTTGGTCATTGAATCCCAATTTTTTTACTTAGTCATCCAGGCTAGTAAATAGCAGCCCCTGTTGAAATGTAATAAAAAAAGCGTTTTTCTACATTATACAATTTTTGAGCTTGAAACGCTTTTTAGAATCAAGACACTTGAGACCTCAAGACCTTCGTCCGGACCCGCGGCCCATTTTGGTCTAACTTAGCAATTAGAAATTTTCAGAACCCCCACTCTCGTTGGAAATTCCTGGCCTCACCCCTGTAACTACATGCAATCCCAAAGCTGCTATATTATGCTGCGACATATATGCTGCTTCCACAAAGATAGAATCCCAAAGTTGGCTTATTGTATAAGTATTGATTCAAATATTTAAATTATTTTTTTCTCTCAACCAACATAAGATTATTAAAATGGTACTCATAAAAAAATTGCACGATATTCAATTTCATTTAGAAAAATTCACTTAATGAAATATATACTGTCTATTTTAGCCATCTGTAATAAATGCTTTGAATAGGTTTTCTTTGCACTTTTGTTACTGTAACGTGTGCTCATTATTATTTTATTGATATAGCAAAATTACCATATTTATTCAAGTCTTGAAAGAATTTGATGATAAATATTTTTTGAAATTTTTGTAATAGTAATAGTAATTCTAATTCATTGTTATACAGTGATACCCTGGTAGTCGAACATGAATCGTTCTGAATTGGTGTTCGATTATCGCTTTGTTCGAGAACTAAAACTTTTTGTCATAAACAATGGTAATTATTTTAATTCATTCTTACGCATTACAAAATACCCAAAATATTAACAGGACGTTATATCATTCAGCGGTGTGCTCAAGGGTGTTCGAGTACTAAATTTTCATTTAAATAATGTAGCATTTTTGACTAAAATTTTTTGTGTAACTAACGATTGTTTGAGTGCTGAAACTTTTCTGCCATAAGAAACAGTGGTAATTATTTTAATTCATTCTTGTGCATTCCAAAATATTAACAAGACTTCATTTCATTTGGTGACACGCTCATGTGTTCTAGCACCGAATTTTCGTTTGTCTACAGTAGCATTTTCGACTAAAATTTTTTGTTTGGCTACTTAATTTTTGGAGTATCAAGTAATCTGACTACTGAGGTATCCCTGTACTTGCTTTGATATTGTTCTCTATTAATGGAAACCAAATTTTTATCACAAATGATTTTTAATTAGGCGGCAGGTCATGGGTTTACAGCCCATGGCAAAATTCTGTCAAAGTCACGCTCCTGCCGACATATCGATAGGTTCAACATCCCTAATCTATATAGCCTACTGTGCTTGTGTATCATTGATATTTATTCCCTTTTTTATTGTGCAAGTTATTTTTGTATACACAATGTTTTGCCCTGTTTGAATTTGGTATTTATTCTCTGTGTCTGCTTCTTATTGAAGCTTTCTCTTATTTCACATTGAAATGTATTATGTTTGTCCTGTTTTGAATGTTTTAAATGATTCTTTTTTTGATTGGTACAAATTATTCATACACACAAGTTTTTTTCGATCTAAAGGTTGTTAATATTTGAGATTGTTTCAAAATTTGATAATCTAGAATTTTTAGCAATCAAAAAAAATATATTGTGGCTTCACATCAAGGCTTTAGATTTCATTAAAAATTAGCTTGGCTATTCAAAATTATAACTACAAAAATTTCCGTGTTCAGTCTACAGTCCAGCGAAACTTCGACTTAGGCTTTTGATTTTATAAATGAATATCGGATTAGGAAATCATCCAAAGCTCATGTATAGTTATCCGGTACTATTAATTCAGACTGCCTTCAAGTATAAGCTTTCGATTTTAATAATAAAATTTACAAATTTGAGTTCATAATCCAAAATCTTCACTATGAGAATTCATTAAAACAATCCAGCGTTACATCCCTTTAAGCTAAAAGTTAATGTGAAGTATCCAACGGAAATGAACAAATTAAAAACAAGTCTATTCATTACAATAGCCAAGTTGGAGGCAATGGTTATTTCATTTTTTATTGTATGCGAATTCCGTCATACACTATTCAAAGCTCCAATGATTTTATTTTCGAATATATATTCGATATTTCATATTCAAAAATATTAAGTTTCAGTGTATTCGAATAGTGAATTATTTGGTATTGGCCATCACTGATTAAAACCTTCAGATATTTCTGCAAAAGAACTACAAATTCAGTCGAAAATCTTATTTGGTTTCATTCAAGATTTCTAAGCCTTTCATTATCAAGATTTAAATTCACTCTTTTAATGAAAATTTATACACAAACGAGCATCGATATACACAAGTGTTTTGTGAAATTTATGAAATGCCTTCTCCAATATACACTATTTCTCATTCCAAACAGGGTTATATGTTTAATTATCATTATTTTTCTGCTATCGAAGCTTTCTTTTCTGTTTATTTGTCGTCTGAATTAGTTTTGGCAAAAACCCCAGTTATTCTCAAACTTTTTATGTCGCGCCCCCTTGTTAGAATTTGTCAAGTCTGTCCAATATACCCAATTTCTTATTCCAAACAGGGTTGTTTTATTATTTTCTATTAAAGCTCTTTTTTCTCTTTCATATTGAAATGTATTGTCTGTTTTACTTTTATTTATTTGCTGTCTGAATCAGTTTTGTCACAGTCCCTAAACTCCAGGGTCAAGTCACTTGTCATCTGAATTCATCTCAGCACATTTTGTCAAGTTTATTCAGTTTATACTAAAGTCAACTTCAATATACAGGTTGTGCATAAAGTCCTTTACAATTTAATTTTGCCATGAAGTCAGTTCACAATATATCTTAACCAGGTTTGTTGTTTTTCAATCATTGACTGTATTTTTACTTCATTTAATACACAAAAACTATACATGGTATCGATAAATTCCCCTTGCAATTTTAAAAAATTTCAAGACTCTATGGACACCCTGTATATCAATTATTCCCATATACACATCTCTTAATGTGTTTTGCTCATTAACCCATGTATGACACAACTCTATAAAGACCTTAGCATAGTGTGTGGTATCAATCTAAATTGTTACTGGTAAAGCATTTGACTTATGCTAAAAATAAATGAACCAATTATTGCTCTAATAACCTTGCATTAAAATTAAAAGTTAGAACTATCGCTTCTTCGAATATCTTTATTTTTGAGTGAAGAGTTTTTTTGAGTTTTTTGTTGAAAAATATTGAAAATCTGTGACCGTCCCATCTTGCTAAATCCTATAAGAAGCTATGCTGCATTTTATTGCTTGTATTAATAAGTTCTGCCCAAATTAACGACCGTTATACACATTTTTATTTGTAATCATATTCTATATATGCTTGTATATCAAATTTACCTTGTGTCTGAATTTTACTGAATTTTTGCTCATTCCCAAAGTAACGGCCACCTCACCTCGGAGGGTAACAAAATGTCTTATGTGGTCCTTTTAAAAAGCTCTATGCTTGGAGTAACAGCTTGTCCATTGACTTGTTCAGAGCACACCTTGGAGGGTAACAAAATGTCTCATGTGGTCCTTTCAAAAAGCTCTATGCTTGGAGTAACAGCTTGTCCATTGACTTATTCAGAGCACAGGTCCGACTTGAGCAGAAAAATTCGAGCCCTACAAGATCTCCTAGTTCAGAGCCGGCTTTGGAGCTTAGGTCAAACCGAGCTAGAGAATCCCAAATTTGGGTTTTATTTTGCGATGTATCTATTTGTCCAAAGCATTGCTCGGAAAATTTTTGAATCACCTATAGCAGGAATGGACGAATTGCAGGCCGGATCTTGCCCACCAAAGTGTTTCATTCGCCCCTGTTCTGTCTGCTAAATTTTCGGATATTAATTTTGGATATTGAAGTATTTGAAGTAATTTTGGATATTAATTTCCGTTAATGAAAATAACGTCATAACCCCGATTGTTACTTGTGCACAAACGTTAGCCTTGCTGTTGTTGCCCACTCCTGACTTATAGCAACAGCTTGTTTGACCTTATTTGGAGGAAAAGCTTAGTCCAACCAAAAGCTTTATTTCCTTCAAATTTTTATTTCCTTATAATGACTTTTCCACAGCCTTGGTTATAGCCTAGCCAGAAACTCATGCCCAAACCTGCGTTTTTTTATGCTGAGGTATCTATCTGCTTTTTCAGAGCCTTGCTATGAGAACTGTTTTGAAACACCTGAAAAATAAGCTTTTTTAATAGCTTGTTTATGGCCTTGTGTAGCGCATAGGTCGAAATCAGGCCTTAGGTCGAACCCGACCGCTGTTTCGGTCTAACTTAGAAAAAAAAAGTTTCAGAACCTCTGAAAATTTCTGACCTCTGGTTCTATATGCCCAGTATCTGCTTGCCCAAACTTTTGTTTAGAGAGCAGGTATGAAACACCTTACGACAATAAGTTCTTCCAATTATAGTTTTATGAAGTGAAGCCATTTTTATTTGAAGCAATGTTTCCCAATTTTCAATGCTCAAGAATACACAATACCTCAATTGTACACAAAGTTCCATAAGAAGTGCAAAAATATATTATTTATTTATAGAGAAAAATTTGACGCTCCCGAAGTATGTGCACCAAGATGGCGCACAACCTGAACCCTAACCTGGTACACATACTATGTTGTACGACATCTTGGTGCACATACTTTTGGAGGTCCAAAAATTTGGGTGAAATATTAGATTTTTTGCTATTTTTGTGTGCCTTGTATTTTATTAGATTTGAAAATGTATTTTGAAATGCTTGCTTATAAAGGAATCTGTAAATAAATTGGAAAAAGGCGATTTTCTGTGTTTTTTTGCTAAATTATGACATCACTATAACGCGAGTTCTGCAGAAATACCACCCTGAAGGTTTACACAAATATTGCCATATTCGCGGGCTCCATATACCCCAATGTAAGACCTGAAAGCTTGAAAAGGTTATTCTGTGGGACAGGAAAGGGTTGAGACGACTTATCATGTTTGAAATATAATTTAGAGCCCTCCAATTCAGTTATTATTACTTATCGATAATAAGATCGATAAGTATGTTGATAGGTATTTGTCTGTCTGTCTGTTTGTTTGTCTGTTGGATGAACGCGGTATCTCACGAAGACGAGGTTGAATCTGCTCCAAATTTGCATGTGCATTCATCATATCTCGGACCAGAAGCCTATTGATTTTGGGCAAATTATATCGTATAATTAGCGAGTTATCAATTAATTAGTGATGGGACACGCGGTGTCACTATAGAGTCATGAATCGAAACGCAATTTCGATCGATAAGTCTTCGGTCTCCGACCGGAATTCTCGCTTTCCAATCAGTAAGCTTGAGCTTTATACTCACAAACCCGTCCGCCATTATTAGACGAGAACAGAAGTAACTTAGAAACACGTTGACAAGTTAGAATCTCTTCTATATTTATCAATATCTAACAAACAGCCAATCATAACGCGTATTCCGAGTCACGTGATCGGCGCAGAACACCATCTGCCATGTTCCAGCCATGCGCAGACGAACATCTTAACAGGAAGTTAAACTTCCCTGCCGGAAGTCTCTATTTGCCATGCGCACGAAAATACTCAACTCCTATTGGCTGATTCAAAATTTTCAACCTGCGCAGTAGATTACCGGTCATCTACTTGCCATGCGCGAGATTTCCGGAAAAAAGACCGTTGCCAGATATTTTTCGGACTGTTCAAACACGAAATTCTGAAATCTGACAACCGTCAAAAACGGTGAATTTCCGCGCATGGCAAGTGCATGTCCGTTTTGGTACTGCGCAGGTCACGTGACTTTGGAATTTTTTGATTGGTCGAATTTCGTCCAATTGAAATATTCCTTCATTGTATTAGGGTTTGAGGACCCCGCCCTTGTTACTAAAGAGCTAATGAGAAAACTGCTAGCGTTTGGAGGAATCCTCAGCTGAGTTACACTTCTCCAGAGATTGAAACACTTTAAATACTAACTATTAGGCCCATTTATATTACTCTGCCACACCTCTTGTAAACTGTGCCTGCTGAAGAACTCTGCTGGGCCCTTTACAAGATGCACACATTTTCGCTTCTGATTAAGTCATTGGCGCTGAGTTTAAGCCTGTAATTGATCCCCTCAAGTATTAGAGGGGCATTGTGCTGCCATTAGAGCTGAAGATAACTTCGATTTCCATTCTCACCATCTCACTCAAGGTGAAATAAACTGGAGGGCTTGAAGATTCATGAACATCTAAATTAGAAGCTCTTTTATCTATGTATCAGCGACTTCCTGTCCTAAGCTTTGCTCAGAATGAAAACGCCTCTCAAAAAGTGTTATCATGAATCTCAAAGACTCCAGCTCATCTCAGGTCTTTATATATCAGCAATTGCTTGTATGGAGCCTCACTCAGAGTAAAAACTAACTTAATTACAGGACTTTTAAAGCATATGTTCGTGCTCCATACAGAGACCCAGGGCTCTGTGAGAGAAACCTAGAGACTCCGCAAGTTATTCATTTACTTATTGAAACACTGAATATTTTTTAATGCAAAGCAGCAAATGCATTTAAGTCATTAAATAAAGTAATTTTAGTTTACTCAGGGACTGGTAAATGATGTTTTTACTTATCGATTTTAATCGGTAAGTATGTTGATAGGTATTTGTCTGTATGTCTGTGTGTTTGTCTGTTAGATGACGCGATATCTCACGAAAGCGAGATTGCTCTGCTCCAGATTTTGCATGTGCATTCATCTTATCTCGGACCAGAAGCCTATTGATTTTGGGCGAATTATGTCGTATAATTAGCGAGTTATCAATCAATTATTGATATAGTGATCTAGATTTTTGTAAAGCGAGAGAATCTTGAGACCCGCCGAGGGTGTGTGTGTGCGATGCGCAGTGCGCAAGTTACAAGAGCGGATGAATCGAAACTGCAGTTTCTGTTTTGGGGGATCCCCTAACTATCGATCGATAAGTCTTCGGTTTCCAACTGATATTCTCGTTTTTATATTCATAAGGTATTTGTGGGCTTCGTAAATAATTGTCAACCTCTTGAAAAGTCTGAGATCCTCTGCGATATGAAGCAGACCAAACAGTTATATTTTGCATATGATAAATCTATTGCAATAAATCTTCACATTAAAAATGAATCATAATGAAATACTGTTACAAATTTAATTTCCAAAAAGAAAAATAGCACAATGTCTAAAAAAGTGAATGCTATATGAAAGCAATTCTATAAAAACTGATACAGAGTGGGGTTAAGAGTGGGTAAGTGGGGCCAATTTACATTAGACTCAATGACTTCACGTTAAAAAAACATGCTTTCCAACTCTGGGACGCAAAAAATTTTGATGTAGATTCTGGCAAAATCAAATATTGATAACAAAAACTTTGGTATATGCAAAAAATCTAAAACAGTGAATGCGATGAAATTCGAATCGATTCAAATATCTTATTGTCTTTATATTTAGGTTTTTTTCTAACAGCACAAACTTGGGTCTCTCCAAGTGAAAAAGAAAAATAACTCTATATGGTCGAGGAGTTCTAGTTTGTGTAGAGAAATAACATAAGAGTCATTCATAGGCAGAAAATGTGGGTATTGGTTTCAAACAATAAACTTGTTTTAACACTTAATAATCATGGCAAAATGATCAAAACTTCAGAAACACAAACAACGTTAATTTTGGATAAAATGTCAGCGCTTTACAAAAAATATCACAAAAATGTGTATATCAGTGCTAGTCTGAATAGCTTGGTGAGAGCAGTTAAAGGCTTGTGGCAAATTTTACTGCAATGCAGGTCAAAGCTACACCACGTTGAGAATTGCCAAACCTTCCTAAAAAAGCATGGTTGCTCTCCATAAATCAGTAATTAATTAAGTAAAAAGAGCATGGTTGCTCTCCATATATCAGTAATTACTTGAATGGCAACTCACAAAAGACTTCATGACAAAAATAAAAGTCTTAATTTTTAGCAGTAAAAAGCTCTCAAATTTTACTTTATAAAAATGCAACGGAAAATCATAAAATAGTTTAGTAGATTCATACTGAAAGGATGCTTATCAAAAAATTGCTAAGAGCAAAGGCACAATGAACACTAGATGATAATTGAGCATTTATAAACCAACACAGACAGATCAGAATAAAAACTATGATTAATAATGATAAAATGGCAAATGTAGTTTAAAATCTTAAAACTTCAACATAGATTCAACTTTATTTATTCATAAAAACAACACAGGGCTTAAATTAAACTCATTATTTATCCCATACAAACAGTACAGGGCTAAAATCAAACCTATCAGGCATTCCAAGATGAGATACATTTGCGTACGGTGATTTCGACCACTCGAAGACTGGTTGTTGATTGTGGGTTGGGCCGGATTCTGCCATCATGCCAAGAACTTTTTGTAACGAATACGAAGTTGCTTTTACGTCAGTCGCAGCATGGTCACGTTGCTTCAAAGCTCCGAACGGAAACACGCCATCTGCTGGATTCAAATCACAACGAGCTGCGATTGAATTTTCTGCACTGTAGGGTGGGGTACAATTACATCTCGAGATCGGGTCATTTTTGAAATCATTGTATCTCATTAATTTAATCAAGCTATCCATGTCGACAACTTTCTTGTGGTCTCGAGCGAATATTTTAGCACGAGGATTTTTGTCGTGTGTGAACCAGTCGCCATATTTTGCCACCATCGCTGGTTGACCAGAATCCTTGAATATTTCCGGGAAATATGGAATGTTGTAACTTGCCCAGTATGTTTGATTAAAAAGAACATTTGAGACGTCATCGAAGACTGTTTCACCAGGGAGTTGTTCCAGGACGTACAAAACACCGGTTTTTGATTGTTTCTCAAATTCATTATAGTCCACAATCATCCATTGGTTGTTATACGTTCCACTGTTATAGTTTGAAAATATTTCGCACCATTCTTCCCCATTTTTAGCAAGACGGTTCGCTGCAATGTTTCTCAACCACTCAGGGACAGTTTCTGGTGTGACGTATTTCCACAAATCAGAGTTCGAGTTGCCATTTGTAGTTTCCATGGTTACCAATCCAGTTGCAAGAATGTAAAAATCATCGCCGGAAAATACTGAACCAGGGTAACCAGAAAATGATTCCGAATGAGAACCAAAATTATATCTTTTCATAATACGAAGCATACTTTCGAACGATGACCACGTATCATGCGCAGAAAATAGGTCCTGTTTGCCAGTTTTGTCCGTGACTATTTTCACGAGAGCAGAGCAATGCCCAGACCCGACTGCTCGATGTTTTAACGGCTCTTCAACTTCCAAAGCGACTTCTAAATCCTCTAAATCTCCTCCAAGTTGAAAGAGATAGAAACCAAACGGTTTGAGACGAATCGTAGGGTTGTAAACCGCAAGATTCTTATATCCATCTTCTAAACCTTGGACTTGCAGGAGACCTTTATTAACTTCATCCCAGAATTTATCGTCAGGATTCTTTTTGATCATGTCTAGCATCCACTGGATATTGTCTTGCACGAAATCATGGATTTTCACACATGACTTACTCAACGGAATCGAGTCGCAGTAACCTTTCAATGTGTTGTTCCACGTCTGCTCGATTCTCTCGGACGTTATATATCCTTCAGCATATCCGGCACCGTAGGCTTGCAAATGCGGGTCCACATCTGAAAAATTGAAAAAAAATAACGTCAATAAAAGATTTGAGAATACTTACTCCTGTAGTATGTGTACCAGGTTCAGGTCAGGCCATAATTTTCATTCTGATTTACCTTATTTAGTTCTATTACGAGTTCAGAGACTGTCTGTGTTAGCCAAATGAATATACCCCCCTGCCCATAGGTTTCAGTCCCTTTACACAACTAGATGTAAAGTAGGCGAACAAAATTAGTTATGGTACCTCCATATTGGTACACATACTTCTGGAGCACCTGGGAATGAATATATCAGTGGTCTTTAACATTCACGGTAGAGGACCCTAATGAAACATTCCAGAAGCTTAAGAAACACTTGTGTTCAATACTAGGAAGGCTTAATAAGAGTTGTATAAACTTTAAATATATACAAAAGCAAAATGATGTTATTAAAGATGTAGCAAGTCAAATTATAGAGGTAAACCTTTCTAAAGGTAATTCTATTTGAATAATATTCATATATTAATACAGAATTTTTGGCGCTCCAGAAGTGTGTGTACCAATACGGAGGAAACCAATTTTGTTCGCTTACTTTACATCAAGTTGTTTAAAGAGACTGAAACCTATGGGCAAGAGGTATATTCACTTAGCTAACACAGACAGTAATAGAACTAAAATGAGGAAAATTGGAATAAAAATATGGCTTAACCGTAACCTGGTACACATATTACGGGAGTACCCATTTTTCAACTTGAATAGAAAATTGAGGAATCCCTGCACTATACTGACGGAACCACAGTCGAAAATCAATGAAATATATGGTAATTTTGACCTATTGCCATATCTAGTATTTATATCAGGACAGTGGAATATATTTACAATCAACTACGTCCCCAAATTTTGACTCCAATTCTGAGTTGCCAAAAATTTTGACTTTGACTTCAGCTCAGAGCAAATCAAATTTCATGAATGGAAACTTTGGAATAGGTATGCTTTGTTTCATAGACTATTAAGAACAATTAGTAAAATTAATGCAATTTTATTAGTTAGCAATTTTATCAACATCTATCTATAATTCAGACTCAGTGAAAGCATGTTCAACTCCAAAGATTAGATTATTATTCCATTACAGATGAACATTTGAACAATGGATGTCTGAAACATATTGAATACATTCTGGTATTCAATTCCAGCTGAGCCCCAAGGAACGGATGGCTCGAGGAATTCCTGTGCAATAGTTTAATTGTCTGTAATAGCGAAACTATAAATACATATAAAAGTAAACTTAATACTGAAAAAAATAAAATTATCTTAATTCTTAATAATAGTGGTGAACCTAAACATCAAAGATTGAACAAAGTAAGTAGTTTTTATTTATAATGAAGGAGGAATAACAGTTCTGAAATAAGCAGAGGGTGTTTAGTCAGCGCTTCTTATACTGTGAGTAATGAAGAATGTTGGCAGTTCTTAATATATCTTAACCAGGTTTGTTTTATTTTGGTCAGTGTTACCTGTGGTGGCCAACAAACTACCATTATATAAAGCACCTCTGAACAGAATTTTAGTGATATATATATATATTTTTTGTTTTCAAAAAGATAGCAACTTTTTAATCATTCGTTAAATTATTTTTATTGCATTTTGATGTTTATTTGATATAAATGGCATCCAGTGCTGCAGCCAGGGACAACTGCTGGAAGACCTTAAAATCGCTAATAATGTATAAGATTTCCCATGGATCGTTTCGTTAAAATCACTAATTGTATTTGTCAGCTTGGATGGAAGAATTCAGCTCTTTTAATGAGTGGCATAATTGCAGCAACTGTCATAAAAGCTGTTGCATGGGGATTCCCGATTTTAAAAACCATGGTTGTTCCCCTCATAACATTGTTAAATTCCATATGAAATTTATTTTTGCGACTTTATTAACACCCTGAATACAGTGAAATTTAGCTCTATGTCAGTAATGTTTCTCATATTCTCATTTATGTCAGTAATGTCGATTAAATAGTCTAATGATTCGTAATGAAGTGGTCGTCAATCAGGGCTACGCTGCCCTCAAAGTTTTGCCAATGCAGTCCAGGGCCCATCTCCCTCCAACCAGTTTCCATTTAAATCTGTGAATCAATATTGATATACCGCAGGGATCAGCAACCTACGGCCCAACAAGTAATGTAATCCGGCCTGCAACGCTTCACTGAATTATAGTAACAAAACAGCTGTTTTGACGTTATATTCTTTACGTAACAGAAATTATTGTGAGACGCGTGTAGACTAAATTATATTATGATCTAACAAGCATAAAATTCACAATTACTCGTTTAATTAGCCTATAATTTAATTATAATTAGACAAATGTCAACAAAACGCAGAAAAGTTGATGCTAAGTGCAAAAGGTTCAATGGTGCCGAAAATATTCAAATGGAATTTTTTGAGATGCTATACAATGTATCACTGCTTGATTTTTTTTATAAAAACTTTCTGAAAATATGTGCGGCACGCCAATGACTTGTAACCCTTAATTTTGGCCCACAAGCGACAAAAGGTTGCCGACCCCTGATATACGGGGAGTCCATAAAGTTCCTTTACAATTTGGATTTTGTTATGAAATCATTTCTCAATATATCTTAACCAGGATGTTGATGTTTTTCAATCAGTAATTGTTCAAGTCTTTTTTCTTCATTAATACATTAGTGAGGGCCATGGTGTCGATAAATTCCCTTTGCAATTTCAATACATTTTAGGACTTTATGGACACCCTATATGATGTACATTGTTGCTATCAGGTTTTCCACTATTTATAAACTCGCTACAATTTTAAAGATCAATTTTGTTTTGCCAGTAGGCCTATTACTTTTGCATTTATATATTTATTGTTTACACAATTCTAACCATAAAAGACAAATAAACTATTGCACAGGGGTTCAAGCCTCTAGAATATTTCATTGGGATTCCACTCCAACAAAATGGTTGAAAATCTTCTGCCCTTCTTACTAATACATTGGCTTATATATTTCCATAACGAGCAAATTTGCATTTGTGCACCATTACAGTACGCAAAACTATACAAATCGAGCGGCATTGTCTCGTTTCAGAAAAACTCATTTTACAGATGATTAGACGCCCCTTTTTTGGGGAACATCTGGACATGGTTGTCCCTCAATATCGGCAGAACTACAGTAAATTGAAGTCGCCCAAAAAAGTACAAAGAAGCGCAATCTAAAAACGTCATTGGACTTCTCTGCAAAAAATAATTCGATTAACCGAAAGCGAAAATTTTCTACCACGGCGTTCGAGAGTTTTGAACAAAAAACAGCAACTTTGGTCATGTGACGGCTGCGATTAATTGAGATTATTATCAAGCCAAACATGGCGCGATAAGACGCTTCTGCCGTCATGCCAGACGTCCCACGTTTGAGAGACACATGTAGTGTATGTTTTATTGAACCAAATGACGGGACATTCTTGGAATTTGGATAGTGTGCCGCACTGATATTGCCATAACGAGCAAAGATGCATTTGTGCACCATTATGAAATAATCAATCACCATATGACGGTCAGATGTATAAAATGGTTTCTGCATTTCATCCATTCTGCATTTCATCCATTCTGCATTACTAAATCCAATTCCTATCAATTTACAATGGTGCCTGCAAATACCTCACTTGGACATGACCCAATTATATCTGATATTCCTCAACCAAAATTATTAACTTTAAATGTATTCCAATCACAGAATCATTAAACCAGATCATTTGCAGTTGGGCGTTGATTCAAATATTTAGTAAATCTTGTATTTATCCAATATTTTGACAATGACTAAACTGCGTGATTATTGATTTCATCCTTCTTTGCAGTAGGGTGGTTTACCCCCTTTGCGGACACGACCTATTCGGGCCATCAACTTTATCGATCTAAATAATGCCGAGAAAATTAACGAATCGCGACGATATTTCTCACGCGCCATCGCCCACTTGTCCCTCATAGCTCTGCAAAATTACACTAAAATGCGGCCGCAAACAAAAAAGTTATGACCGAAAACCCGACCAAAGAAAAAAACAGATCATTTTTTCAAAACTTGAAAATCCATACATATATAAGAGATGAAAAGATGAAACTTGGCAAGGGGGAAGAGTTGTGTTTCTTTTAACCATCTTTCGCGTTTCTACATTTAAAGGAGGGGGAATAGGGGGGTGCGCCCTATTCGTGTTGACCGTGTTCTTAAAATGACAGTGTTCTTAAAATATATGACGGTCAGAAATGCAATTAGAAGCCCAACTTTTTCGCGCATGTTCTAGTCTCGACGCGGCAGAAACGATGTTCAAGGCTTGAAATCCGGGGTCGCAAACTGGTCGATCGGTCGCAAATACGTCTTCTGAGTGTCATACTTTGGTGGTTTGTATAGCTTTAACCCCTGGTCGTAGAAAGTTAATTTGAGGTTTAGCGTGTAGAATAAATGCCAATGCACCTACGATGAAAAATTAACAGGTTAGGAATATTGGTTTTTGTTTTATGGCGTTTTGAATGAAATCGTCCGCAGACTGGCTACACTCCCCTAGGTCAGTAGGTCTACAGTCAAAGCAATTTGGATTTTGTAAAAAAAAACTGAAGAGTATGAAAGTCAACTCACCTGGATTAGTCGTGAATTCTCCAACAGCCCATCCTGTGGTTTCCACATTATCGGTGTAAGTGGCATCAACGATCCATTGCGGCGGTGGAGGATCAGAATTGTGAATTTCGTGAGATTCTATGAAATTTTTCCCTTCATTATAAACAAATAAAACTCTCCTAGTTTTGCCACAAAATGACAGAGCACAGAATAATGATAGAATTACAAGAGAAGATCTCAAGAACGACGCCATTGCCGGTTTCCAACTTCGCCAACGACAGAATGAAGCTATAAAACGGAAATCTCGTGACCAACGAAACTGCAACTGACGTTCGTCAATAAATAAAGAAAAGTGCGGCATCTAGCAAGCCACAAAATATTTAAAACATGCCGCAAAAGGCAGTAAAGAGTAGTTGCTCTTTAGCACATTCTCGCGAAAATCCTGATTAATGGTGAACCACCGCAAGGTGTCAGCATCAGATTCAATAAATTGGTCGATTGAGAAATGACAGCTATAGTTTCTCGACCACGGATGCGGAGTACTAAAAAATTACACCAGACTCTGAGCCAATAGAGAATCCGATCCGGTTAGCGTTAATTTTGACTCCAACTCCGGGTTAAAAGCTCCGAAACCAATATTGATAAAAAAAAGCGTTGCAGGTCTTTGGAAGACTTTGTGACATTGGCCAATCAGCAAGATGCAAAAAGTGACGTAACAACGCATCCGCTCAGACACTTTTCTCGCCCAGACCGATTTTCAGGCATGGTCGTAAACATTACCTCGTTTTCGCGTTTTTGAATTCTATTCAATAGTTTTCAGCTGTGTTTCGAATATTTAAATATATATCTAATAATCCAATGATCACTTTGTCTTCTTTGGAGTGTTAGTTTAATTGCAGTTTTTAAAAATTAGCGTAGAAATAGCTGTGATAGACTAGGATAAAATTCTTAACCGGTATATTTGAAAAACAGATTGTTGAATGCTATGAATCAGAATGATGATTTGAAACAAATACCCCATTTTACAGGCGCCAACTCGCGAAATCACTCCTGAAATGAGCACCGAAATTTTTGCAATGGTAAAGTATGAAGAGAATTTCACGGGGGTCAAAGATCGTGGAAAGGTTTATACTTTATCTGTGCAAAATATCCACACTTGCAACTATTTTCGCGAGTTGGCTTTTGCCAAATGGATTGCATGTTTGAAAGTATCATTTTTATGAATAAATTTACCAACTTGCCGGTGAAAAGTTCCGGTATTCAGCTTGAGTATAGTTCACCCCAGTTCTTTGAGGCCGTGTCCTGATTAAACTAAAACTTTACCAGAGACAAAGTCACTGTAAAGTTTGAATTGACACAAACCTGAATTTGCATTTCAACAAAGATAAAAACGACTCAATGATCACAACCATGCTTGCACATGATCTGGTGATCAAACCTCAGATCGTGGGATTACGGCACTTGCACTAAAACATTGTTTGCGTTCGTCTGCCCGGGAGAATTCGAGGAGGAGAGTGAGAGAAAAACGATGTTTAAAATTGTGACGATTTTCAACTTCTGGCACGAACTTCTTGAATTCTTGTTCCTGTAATACAGAAGACGTCGGATGCTATAGATTATATATATACTTATATATTATTGTTTACGCATATTTTCCTTTTCTCTCTTTCATTCTCATTACGAAAGACAGGGGTGTGCAATCTGCGGCCCATATGTGGCCCACAAGAAAAAATTGTGCTGCTAGTGGAGAAGTACCACAAGAAAAAATTGTTCGGTCCGCGGAGTAAAGTCAATTTTAAATGGCGTGTAGCCCGAGAAAGTACGTTTTAAATTAGTTTAATCTTGTACGTGCGACCCATCTCAATCCCTTTGCTTCGCAAAAAGTCTATACCTGATTACAATTCAATATCCATGCCTATGACGTTCAATGCCTTAATAGCTAGCTTCTGCGAAGCGAACAACGCGATTCACTTCAACATATTTGTGCGAACAATTTTTTCTAGAACGGGCGTCATGAAATCCTCATGACGATCGGTCTGACAAACAAACACTTGGAAAATGAACTTCGAATTGCCAGCACTTCCAAAAGACAAATTTGAAAAAAATGCGCCGGGAAAGGAGGCAACTGCAAATTTCTCACTACATTCGTTAAAAGTTAGTGTGGCAATAAATTTGAATAGCAGTTTTATTCAGACATTTATGCGTCCCAACTCATCATTTCTGCAAGGACCCACAATAATGCCATTAAATCCACAATAACAAATAGAAACTATTTTTGCGCCCAACTACTCCTAGTAATCCAATGTTAAATAAAGGTGCGGCCTTCGGCTCAATCAGTTATTTGTATCTGGCCCTCCTGTATTGAAGATTGCACACCCCTGCTGTAGTATGACTACCTAACGTTTTCTGAACATTGAAGAAATGAGAATATCGATTTCACAAATATTGATACAAATAATAAAATTTAAGATTAAAATTTAAGGTACCGATAGTGTAGCAAAAAACGATATTTAAACCTTGTATGCAGTTTTCTATAATTTGGTAACCCCGAAATTGACGTACCAAGATGGCGGACACCGGAACGTAGTATGTGTACCATGTTAGGCTATAATTTTATTCCAATTTCCCTTATTTTAGTTCTATTACGAGTTCGGGGACTAGCCAAGTGACTCCCGTAGTATATGTACCTAAAATTATGGCCTGACCCTAACCTGATACACATACTACGTTCCGGTGTCCGCCATCTTGGTACGCATACTTCAGGAGCGCCTATCTCCGAACGTGGTGCAGAGAAAATTGATTTGCGACAAAGCAAAGGCTAGATTAAATATGGACGTAATGGCCTTCTACAAAAAAATATGATTAAATTGGTCCAAGACTTAATTATTAGAAAAGCACCATAATTCTACATTGTCCTAATTGGTTTCTGGAAAAGAAGTAAAGTTAGAACCAAATAATTAACCATATAAAATTATAACATCACTTTAAAAATTAATTTTCGATTTTATTATTTCGTGTATATTCCAAAACAGACATTTTTTTTATTAAAACTGATTGTATTCAGTTATTTTTAGGTTGCGTTCCGGAATGTGAACACCCTCAGGTATGCAATCAAGGAAGTTGACAAGTAAGTGCCGTTCATTTCATTTTGCGTGGTCCCTGTTATTGTCGGATTTGATTTTGGTGGGGTTTAACGGTATGAGAATCTTATCATGGAGTTTTATGGCCTTTTGTTTTTTCCTGCTGATAAAAAAATATTTCTCTCTGTCTGCAATCTAGTCATACCTGAGAGTAGGCAAACACTCAAAGCAAACACCCAAAACAAACACTTGCATGCACGTTTCCAATTCCATCACCTTCATTTTTTAGCCACAGCAGCAAAAATCGTCAAGCACGAACGTGGCCACCTCCAGGTCCACGGAAAGACTCAAAACAATAGTCAAGCCTTTGCCTAAAACCGCGATTCCATAACGGACTGGCAACTGTGACGTAAAAATGAAGCTGCCGACGTCCAGGCACACGTCGGAATTCGGGGCATCGATTGTTTCTGGATAGGGCTGCAGAAATAAGTTCAATAATGCAGCAATTCGTGTGCAACTAAACCTCAGATGGTTGGATCACCGCACTCGTTTCAAAAACATTGTTTGCGCTCGTCCACCTGGGAGGAATCGAGGAGCAGAGTGAGAGCTAAACGATGTTTATACTTGTGGCGATTTTAAACGTTGATTGCCGTGACTTGCATTATATTCCACTTTACATGGATAGATATATTATTTTGAAAACTCCATAATACACATTAATTAAAAATGGAGAATTCTGGAGAGCGAGCAAAACCTTTAAAAAGTTTTAAAACACGAGAAATACCATGCGCCACCAGCCCACATGCCCGCCAGCACACACACAAAATAAATTACAAAAAAAAACCTAGTTTAACGAAGCTAGGGCCAGAAATGAACAGGAGATACGCGAATGTATCAAACCATCGGGCTGTTATACTTTTAAAACATTAAGCTAATACAGTAACAAAGACTAATTCAATTCTAATCTTTTTGAAAAATGTACACTGATACAGCAATATACAGATATATGTTTTTAATTAAAATCCTATTTGTTTTGCCCCACCCCTCAGTGATATTGCGATAAACCGAAGAGCTTTGGCATTAAATTTAAACCTTGATCAACGGATAATATTATTTCCAATTCTCAAACAAATTTTACAATGTAATCTATTGATCATTACAAAATAAAACCTGTAACATCAGATAACGGCATATATTATACTTCATACACTTTAACTGCGAAGCTGTTGTTTGTTTTTAATTGCGGGAGCGAGAGTTGGCTGAGCGGAGGAGAGAAAGATGAAAAATTTGCGCGTTCGTTTTTAGCGAGGACTTTAAATTTAGAGTGGAGGCAGCTGTACTCAATCCTGTTTTGTATTCAATAATATTGTAGGTTTGAGTTCACATTGTAGAAATTCTATCGTGATCACATATTCTGCCACCCAACGTTTTGCCTTTTCACTATTTGAATTTACAATATGAGACATTGCCCGCATGGGCAATCAGTCACAAGCTTTGTTTGAGATAATGAAACAATCGCATGCAACCTCCCGCAAACGGCAAGTGTTGAAAAACAGAAGTTCACGGTCGCGCTTGCTGTTGGCACGTCAGGGTTTTTTCATTCATATTGTGAACGCACAAACAGTCACAGCAGTTTGCTCAATTCGGGCAATAGAGCTCGATAGCTTTTGAATCGCTCGGTAATTGCTGCGGGTCAATGGAACGCTTGTCGCCGAAATACAATGGTTATTCCTATCGGTAAACAGGCGGGTCGAATATGGTTAGTAGCCAATTGAGTTTCTTGTTTATATGCATTTTTCTCCCCGGGTATATCAGGAAGTCAATACTCTTAAAAGCCCCCTCCATCAACAGTTGGTGCCATTCGTTTGACTATGTTGTGCGGAATATTAAATTTAAAAAAGCAATAAAGCAAAAATATATAAGTGTCGAACAGTCATCTCTGCGAAATCTATTTAAAAATGCGATCTAATTTGAAATCGTATGGTCAATTAGTCAGCATGATCAGTTAGTTATTCTTTGTCAACAATAACAATTTATCTTTCTGTAAATTCATTTGTTTCATTCTTTTGGCAAATAGTTTTAGATAACCTTGTATTGTCTCAAAAAACTTCATTCTAAGTAAAAATGATAAACAAAATCTTGGTGCTGTTCTTGATGTTGGTTGTTATTTTGACGATGATTCTCAACGTAGAAGGAGGTAAGTTTAAATAAATGGGAGAGCGATAATATATATGGAGCCAAAGTTGGTACTCTCGCAGTAAAAGCTACCATTCATAGAGCACTAACCTACAAAAATTGACTGTCAATTTCTCATGGCTAACTAACGCCATGAATTTGATTTCGTAGTTAAAAACTGCAATCTCTGAACGCATGGTCGGATATTCTAATAGCTCAGAATCTGTCAGCTAATATTACCGACTCCGTGACCGTGACCCCTGAGAAATTGTAAACTTGCTCGACTACTATCCTTCACCAATTGTAAAAAGCGACCTCTTCATCCATTACTGAAACGCAATGTCGGTAGAGAAAGCCTGCTCTGAAACTCCAATCTTAATGCTGTGAAAACCTGGTGAAAGAAATAATAGTCGACTAAAATTATGAAGCCACGTTTCAGTACCCAGTACATATGTTTTTTGAGATTTAAGCTGAGTCTATTCTGTTATTTTCAGACACCATTGGGTGCCCCCGCTGCGGTGTGGACATTGTTGAGTAAGTGTCGTATTTTCATTTTGCTCTAATCCTTTAGAGAAGACCTAGAGGCATTGATGGGATTCAGGGTTTTGGTGCGAACCAATCCGTGGCATGCCCTGATATCCGAGAACCCGTTCTTGGTTTTCAAGTATCATAAATATGGCCTAATTTTGAAATGAGCGAACCTGTTGTTAGTGAGTGTGATACAACTGAGAGGAGGCTTGGGCAAAAACAAGCGGCACACTAAAACCGCACCTCGGGAACAAACTTTCAGTCCAACCTACTTTTTTAGCGATGATGATTCAGAGTCATAGAAAGAAGATTAATATTATCGGACATCATGATCAAGGACCGACTTCTACATTTTAAATTCATATAAACGAATTATAACGAATAAATGAAACTTTTGAATTTATGATTATTATTTCTTCGGATTGGCTGGATGCAGCACACGTAAATGTTATTAACTAATTGGAAAGTGAACACATAGCAGATCAGAAATAAGAAAAGTGAAGAAGCGAATTGACGGACTTTAGCACAGGCAGACTCGAATATGGGCGCTCTAGAACAGTGGTTCCCAACCGCCGGTCCGCGAAGCTTTTTTGCCGGTCCGCGAGAAATTTCGTTGTTTTTATGCCGTCTCAATCGCTTTACCGTAGACAAAGTTGCGTTGGCTCATTACGCAATTCTCTTCCGCCGTCATATTGCGACGTCTTTCGCGACATCTTGGCGCCCATCATTCACACTTTCCGCTTTTTCGGCTCCGATTCATCGCGAATGCGCTCCATCAAATCTCGCAAAAATAAGAAGCCTAAAAATCAGCACGCGTGCTTTTTCTGTTCTGCGTGCTTTTTCTGATTAATATGACCATCCATATAAAACGTAATGCATATCTCCTTGTTTAAACCAGAAAACGGTCAAGAACAGTATATTATTCCAGTAAGATATGAACTTATTGCGACCCCACAAGTGGTCACGAGACGCGCAAAAAAGCATGGGCCGCAGTGATCAGAGGGATTAAGATGAACCCAATGAAAAAGAAAAGGCTTGATTAAAATGGTGATTCTACTTTACAGTCCAGATTAAAAGAGAATTACTTATCACAATTTTAGATATCTCTTGATAACAAACACCCATCGCCAAGTAATCGAGCAATCAATCTGTTGTCCGTCTTTTCAGCCAGTTACTGCGTTATGCGAAAAAACATTTTCATTACTAGATTCAATTAAAACGAAGCAAAGAAATCGGCTGTACAATGCTGCAGAGCTACGTGTTGCAAAAACTTCTTTGAGGCCTCGTTTGCAATCTTATATTGGAAACGAGACAGCAGCAAAATTCTCACAGGAGTTAATTGTGCATGTTTTTAATGTGAGATATTTTATGCGTGCCTTTCTTACGCATAAAGGGTACCCAGCACTGCATTTTATTACGCAAATATATGGTATTATTTTATGTTTCACCCATTTTAAATATGTGGTCGGCACATTATTTGATAGTTTTTCTCCGTGTGAAATGCTTTAAAGTGTGCTCTTTTTGTCTAGAAGCATAATGAGTGCCCGACATTGCATTATATTACGCAAATATATGTTATTCTTTTCTGTTCCGGCCATTTTACTTTTTTGCCGGTCCGCGAGTACATTTAATCTAATCTTACCGGTCCGCCAGGGTAGAAAGGTTGGGAACCGCTGCTCTAGAAGTATTCGTACTAATATGGAGGGCACAAATTTTGTTCGCCTATTTTACATCAAGTTGTGAAAAGGGACTGAAACCTATATTCACTTGGCTAACACAAATATTCCCCGAACTCGGAAATAAAATCATGGCCTAATGTTAATGCTGAGTTCGTAGAGATTTACATATTTTTCTGGAATGAGAGAACCCGTTGTTGGTGAGTTCGATACAAGGAACCCGTTCTTAAAACTTTAAAGCCCATCACTGCCTGAGAGATAATCTTTTGCTGAATTCGATGTCCGAAAACAAGTAGGCCTACCTGGCATCCGCTGGTATAAAAGTGCACATGTAATCTTCAAGAATTCTGATTCTCATGTATTCCGGAAATTGGAATTTGAGAAATTCTTGCCAGACGTTAAAAAGGGTAAATATCGTTGCTCCTAGTGTTCTTTCAGAGTCAGACGGACGTATCGTAATCGCACAATATCAGATTCATTCGAAAAGAACACTGTCAATTTCCTCAGCCCTGTGCGCCTATGCAGCCATTGTCGAAACACTGCAGTCAAGTGGTTCTCAACCTTTTTCGTCAATTCCCCCCATTGCTTATTTTGGAACTGGCAATTAGCGTCAAAAAAGAAACAAATGAGTCAATGTTTACAACCATCCTTAAAAATCTGAGCGTCTGATTGAAAGCTGAAACTGTAATTGTTGCGTCACCGTTTAGTTATGACTGATTGTTCATTGTTACGAACATAAACAAGGAAGTCGTTGCTGAGCTGAGCGTAAGATCCATTGTCATCTCGGAAGGCTTAGTCAAATAGATTATTTTTAGTTCCATTCGGAAATTTGGACTTGTCACTGTTAGTTTACTGTGGATGTCATTGGACATTTCAGTGTACATAACGATCGTTTCAATATTTTGTTGTTGTTCTTGTTCATATTCTTCTTCTTTGTCATGATAAAATCGCTTTTCTCTTCGAATACTAGACCAATTGCTTTGAAATTTTCAGTGGTTAGAGATTGATTTTTTTGCCAGAAGGCTAAGTCTCATTAAGTTATTACTCGAACAGTATTGGTTGAAATATAATAGACACATACTTCAGTTGTAATAAAGCTAAGAAAAATTTCCATCTTTTATTAGCTCAGGCCTCGAGCGAAACTCGTCATACAGCAAGTTCTAAGGTAATGCTGCACATGGTATGCAGTGTGAGCCTGGTATCGTGCGGTTGCAACACACGTTCCAAAACATCGAATATTTCCGTTTGTTTTCCGAAGACTTGAGAAGCAGACTGAGAGCAAAATGATGTCACTTTTGTGACAGTCTGGCATAAATTTCCCGAATTCTAATTCTTGCAACGCTAAATGCAGGATGTTGTTAAAACGTCTAACTAACTGCTGAAATACGATTGGTTAATGCGTTTCGATATTAAAAACTCATAAACACCGGCAGCAGATATCCCAATTCAGTGCAACATCGCGAACGAAGCTGTTATGCATCGGTTTCACGGACAAACGAATTGCAAAGCTTCAGTGGAACGCGGTTTAGGATTTTTTTCAGGAATATTTGCTAGAAGCAAGGTGACGAGAAGTCACTCAGAAATTGAAAAGAATTTTTTTCAGCGAAGCTACTGGCGAATATTAAAGTGTCGAGAGCGACTGACACTATGAAGCAGTAGTCCCCAAACCGAGGGACGAGTGCGACCCGCGTAATGATTTAATGTGGCCCGAATTAAATAAAATAGTTTAGCACTTTATGATTTCTCTTTTTGTGTTCTAGATTCTGCCAATTGTTACGCCATTATCCCACGGTCAGGCAATTGTATATTCGTTACAACTTAGTTGGGGTTCTCAACCATTCGGTATCTTAATTATATACCGATATCGGGCCCTTGCGAGCGCTCCCTCCCCTGGCCCGCGAATATCCTTCAGCTTATAATTTTGGCCCGCGGTCAATCAACTTCACTGGCTCACTGGCTTAGACCTTTCGATCGTGCTTATGCTCCGTGCTAAGGTCAGGCAATTTGTCACATGTCAAATCAACCTGACATTGCAAAAAGTTCAATAAGCAAGAAATTCTATTGGCGGTGCAAAGGAAAGTATATTCCTAACGCTCAACAGGACGCGCCAGAGGCTCTGTGCTATAGCCAGGCCATCTGTCACATGTTCAGTTTTCCTAATCAGCATTTACATACGCTGCATTATGCTTTCTAAGTATGCTTTATATCCTAATGAACTTTCATATGAGAATAATTCATCACAATATGGAGAGAAAAAAAACACATGCTTTCATGAGTTACATTTATTTATGATACAACGTTTATAGTCATTTTAATATGTAGAAGTATGTTCTTGATCATAATGTTTGATAATATTAATCCCTTTTCCATAATGCTGAGTCCTCATCCGACTTCTGCTGTTGCTTAAAAATGAAGGTAACCAAATTGGGTAATCCAGTAATATGTGTACCATGTTAGAGTTAGGCCCTAATTTCATTCAGATTTTCCTTATTTCAGTTCTATTACGAATTCGGGGACTGTCTGTGTTAGCCAAGTGAATATACCTCCTGCCCATAGGCTTTCGTCCCTTTACACAACGTGATGTAAAGTAGGCGAACAAAATTAGTTACCTCCATATTGGTACACATACTTCTGAAATGCCTGGGTTGCGTTTGTTTTGGTCATGCCCCCTCTCAGGTATGACTAGATTGCTGATAGGGAAAGACTGGCCATGAAACATCATAATAAGATTTATATACCCTTATACTCACAGGGGCTCTGAAAAATGAAATGAACGGTACTTACCAGACAACTTCCTTGAATGCATATTTCATTGCGATCACATTCCGGAGAGCAGTCTAAAATAACAGAATAGAATCAGATCAAATAAAAAAATGTCTGTTTTAGAATAAACACGTAACAATGAAACATGGATTTATATTTGATTCATAAGGCGCTTTAACAGAATTGCCTTGAGTTTCTGTCTAGACCGCATTCACCGAAATACGTGACAAGAATGAATAAAGAGGATGTGGTAGGTTGCCTGGTAAGAATCCATTTGTAATAGATAATGGATCGTATTGGGCTCATTTACACAAACATATTTTATGCCCCAACGCCTAACCTAATCGTCTCCAGGGTAACGCAATTTTGATTACAAAATTAATAGTATTTGGTAGCAAAGTATTTTGTGATTCTGTTTGAAAATCATATTTCCTGCGTTGGAGTTTTGGGATGCTTGAAACAGGTTTGGTTGTTTCGACTTTCGACGAGAATTTAGAATATGGTTCCAGCTTTACTTATCTTTTAGAAAGCAATGAGCAAAACGTAGAATAATGGAGCTTTGTCCTCAAAGTCTTGTACCAATTGAATCATTTTTTGTACAAGGCAATTACTTTCATATTTTGCCTCGTCTCAAATCGATTTACTCTGCACCACATTCGAAAATATACGTTTGAGTATCGCTTCCTGATTATATACCTACCTTGACCTAGAAACCACCCTGCACCCTCTACGTTGAGTATCATTATTGAAGCAACAGCCAACACCAGAAACAGAGCCAATATTTTGTTTATCATTTTGACTTGGAAGTTTTTTGACACGAGACAAGTCTATCTAAAATCTTTACCAAAAGATGAAACAGGCAGATTATTGTAAAGAACAAAAAATAACGATTTCTCTTTGACCTATGGACCATGCGCTTTTTCAATTCTGGCGCATTTAAAGGTAGATTTTGTAGAGCGATATATAGTTTATTTACTAGATTGTTCCACCTTCCATGCATGTATATTTTTTGCGCTGCCTTTTTTATTTCGATTTTTAAAATTTTCTGCAGCATATGACTTAACAAGAGCACGTACTTTCGAAGTTATTGTTCTCTTTTTTTACCCCGGGAGGAAGCGTACCGAAAACGGCAAACATATGAATACGAACCATATACGTCCCGCCTATTTACCTGTAACAATTATCAATTTCTTCTGACTGAATGAGAAACTCGCCACTGATCAACAGAGAATACGCGTCCTATCCTGCAATCCTCTCCCACGCAATTTGAACCAGGCGTGGCGTCTCATTTAAATAGCCTCCATGAGAAGGCCACGTGAACTCCGAAAACGACTGGTGTGAATCAACCTGACATTGCGAAAAGTTTAGTAATCACGGAATTCGATTGGCGGTGCAAAGGTAAGTATATTACTAACGCTCAACACGACGCGCCAGTGATTTTTGCGCATTTTAAATCGCGACCACACGTCCAATTGAACCTTCTCAATTAAATTGGGCTTCCTGCTGTGAATATTCATGCATTTCCAGTATAAAAAAAAATCCTGTCGTGACAGCAGCAGACATCACGTTGATTACAGAAAGAAATCAATATGGCGACAGAGTAGCGCTACCGCGAACTTTCATTATGCGGCGTTTGCCGTTGGAAGGTTCTATGCGATTGTTTCATTATCACAAGCAAAGCTCGCGGCTGACCACGATTCGGACAATTTCTTACTTATATTGTAATGAAAATAGAGGAAGGGCAAAACGTTGGGTAGCAAAATATGTGAGCGAAATAGAAGTTCTACCGTGTGAGCTCAAACCTACATCTTCTACAATATTATTGAATATGTGGCGTACCAAAATTGATATCACCACTCAGGTTCTTTCTGCCAGCTTATCGGACACTGAAGTTGCAATAGATGTCGTTCACAAAACAATCTTCTTGCGGTTCCAATTATAGCAGAGTAACTAAGTTAACTAACTAGATTAATTATACACCTGTAAGAACTTAATACAACCAAATACTCCAATCAGAAATACAATAAACAAATAAAAACATGAAAAACACAGTACAGTAATCAGTAATTTATTTTATCACCAAGAAATACACACTGTACATACAGAACGAGATAAGAAAAGAGAGGAAAATAATGCATTTCAGGGTGAAAGGGGACGCGATAAACCAGCATTGGTTATCGAGCAACGACACCTATGAATAGTCTAACATTGGGTTATACAAGAACAAAAATCGAACTAAATACAGTACTAAAGTGAGGAGTCGGACGCCAAAATACTAACATTGGCAGAAATATGTTTAAAAAGACCAGATTTTCCGGACTCACTAAGCAAACGACTCCGAACGCCGACTGGCAGATAACCATGACAACTACGGCACAAATACGGTAACGTCTAAGTGACTGGAGCACCATATTGCAAGCTGAGTTGGACGGTACCGGCACTGTGCTGATGCATGGTTCATAAAGGCTGGGGACGAATTTGTACACGAGGATAATATGAAGAGAGAAAAAAGAATAAAATGTATCTACAGGTTTGGGCAACGGATTAAGAGATCACTAAACCAGGTAATTGCATTGAGTTACATTACTTACAAATAGTCATTTTGTGTGGCATAAATATAACTAATTTCAGAATTTTAAATCACAACGGTTCTGAAGTGCGATCGAATAGGTCATGTAGAATATAGAAATCATTGATTAAAAAAATGTATATACACAACTGTTCAACAGTTCAATAGGACGGTTCATGCAGAATTTATGTCAATAAATTACATAAATTCAAAGTCACAGCAGTACAATAGCCTACTATGATAAGGCAATTCATGCAGAATATATAAGTCACTCAATTATAAAAATGGAAAATTCACAGAATTACCGTAGGATACATACGTAACACAAAATACGGAATTGGTCTATGACGTCACAGTCATGAACTATTTACTTATAATGGGATACTAAAAACCGAGTAAAACATACCTAGATATACATAAAATACCTAGTATGACACTAAAATACAACACAAATCCTATCTTATCGACAAACACGTAATATACATGGAAATACGCATTGAAATCACACAGGAAATAAACTGCGAAAATAGACTAGTTACGGAAGTGTTAAATACAAGCTAACTAGTGAACAAAGCTATGCCAAACTGGAGAAATAGTAAACCTGTACTACTAATATCATTTCACAACAAGAATTACACAGATTAACGGCACGAAAACACTATAATAATAACCCAATATACAGAGGAAATATCTACACTACCGGCAGTCTGACAGACCAGCAGAAAGAGAAAGTTACACAGCTGCTCACTAATGACTCAAGTGTTATAAAACAGAGTTATAGACGTGGTCGTCTCATTACTCCCCCCTTTTTCAGATGGGAAATTACAAAGAAATTTTCCATCTTCAAAATTGAAAAACCATAAAAATGTGAAGAAACTGCAAAGAACTGTACACTCAAATGAAATGTATATCTAAAATCAAAACAATCAATTGTTAAAAGCACTATCACAGTCAAATCAAATGTAATCATCCAAATATCTAGGCCTTCGCCTAGTACGTTGGCCATTATCAGAGTTCGCATCAACTGTAACTTCTTCTGGTACAGTGTCTGGCCTTGAAGAGAAAGGTAATACATCAAAAATAACATGAGCAATCTGCTCATCATTTTCCATAATAGGTTCCACATCAGGTAAAATGTCAAATCCGGTTAAGTCAATGTCGTTGTCTTCTTCATCTTCATGAAGGTAAGGTCTTAACTTGTCAACATGTACAATTCGAGAACGTGTTCCCGAATTCTTCTGAATCCTATACAAGTGATTAGGTAAACAGTCCACAATTCGATAAGGTCCAATCCAAGGAATACTCAGCTTGCGATGCTTGGGTGGATAATAATACCACACCAATTCATCTCTCTGGAAAGTAAGTGGTTTAACACCCAGATCAAAATTTCGCTTTTGTCTGGTTGCAGCAGCATTTAGATGTTGCCTAGCATGAAGAAAAGCTTTTTCAGTTGCACAGGAAAACCATTCGACAAACTCAGTGTAACAAGGATGAGTTGATGACTCTGGTTTGCCAAACATAACATCAACAGGCATCTCGATTTCTCGTCCAAGCATTAACTTGTTCGGTGAATATCCTGTACTATCATGTACAGTGGAGCGATATGCCATGCAAAGATATGGGAGATGGTCGTCCCAATCATTTCGATTCTCATTTACAAAAGCTTTCAACATCTGCTGTATGGTCCTGTTGAAACGTTCAACTTGTCCATCTGAACGAGGATGATATGGAGTTGTTCGAGTCTTTTGAATCCCGTACAATTGACACATTTCTGAAAATAATTTTGATTCAAAGTCTCTTCCTTGATCTGAGTGGAGAATTCTTGGTACCCCAAATCTCGAAAAGAATTGAGTAACCAATGCATCAGCAGTGGTGTCAGCTCGCTGATTTGGTAAAGCAAAACATTCCACCCATTTAGAGAAATAGTCCGACAAAACCAAAATGTGTTCATTTCCATTTTCAGTTACAGGCAATGGTCCAAGAAAATCAATGGCAATCCTTTCCATAGGAGCTCCAGATATAAGTTGTTTCAAATCTCCCTGTCTTCTTCCGTAAAGCATCTTTGTTGAAGCACAAGACTTGCAAAATTTGCACCATTTCAGAATGTCCCTTTTGAAACCAGGCCAATAAAATCTGCGCCTTATACTCTTGAAAGTTCGATTAGCACCAAGATGACCTGCAGTGCGCAAAAATGTAGCTTATGGAACAAATCCTGCCTCAAATTTGATGGAACAATCAATTGGATATGCGATTCCTCCGATTTACAATCAGGAATCCAACGACGATAGAGAAGTCCATTATCTACAAAAATCGAGTCCCATTGTGACATCAAACGTTTGGTCACTGTTGACTCAGGCATGTATTCTTGAATGTCAGGTTTCTGAGCAGTAAGTTGTTTCCATTTCAAAACAGCAGAAATATCTGGATCTTCACTTTGCCAAGATTTAATTTGCTCATCTGTGTAGGTATCTAGCCAATTACAATCGGAACAGTCTGACGATGATTGACCGGGCTGTTTTGATTTTGCACTTACAATAACATTACTCACAGCCACATCACCATTGGTACCACAATCAGAACAATCTTCTCGCTTGCATTTGCGAACTTGGCGTGACAATCCATCAGCATTGCCATGTTTCACGCCCGGTCTGTGTTCAATCTTGAAGTCATAAGCACCAAGTGTTAATATCCATCTTGCTAACATTCCTTGAGGTTCACGAAAATTGATCAACCATTTCAGAGCAGCATGATCTGTGCGAATTCTGAATGGTCTCCCGAGAAGAAAATGACTGAAGTGACGAACAGCCCACACCACAGCTAATAGTTCCCGGTGTGTAGCACAGTATCTACGTTGAGACTTGGACATAGTCTTACTGGCATAAGAAAGTACACGTTCATTGTCGTCCTGAACTTGAGATAACACTGCACCAATCCCAAAACCACTGGCATCAGTATCCAATACAAATTCGCCGATTGTCCTCGGAAAGCTAAGAATTGGGGCAGATGTCAGACAATGCTTCAAAGTTTCAAAAGCCTTTTGACATTCAGTACTCCATACAAAGGAAATATTCTTCCTGGTCAATCGAATAAGAGGTCCAGCAATTGTTGAATAATCTTGAACAAACTTCCGGTAGTAGTTCGCTGTGCCTAGAAAACTACGAATATCGCTGACAGAATTTGGCGTTTTCCATTCTTTAATAGCCGCAACATTTCCAGGGTCGCAACAGACACCGTCAGATGAAATAAGATAAC